ATGAGTAAGTAAATTAAAACCGAGAAAAAGCTGCACCACACACAGCCTTGAATCACAATTACTAGTCATCATCCTGTTCGTTCGGCGATCTTTCCGGAACCGGATGACACAAAAAGTCTTCGTCCTCCGTAGAACAATACTGTTCCTCAACGTCTTCCTCGCGCAAAATGAGATCCCGGGGAAGAAATGGCCCGACGCGATCGTCTTGTCCGCAAAACGTAGTAACAGACAATTTCTCTCCCAAAGAGTCCAGACTTTCACAGCACTTTTGATAATGCTGGAGAAACGGATGCTCCATATTCGGGAATTCGTATTCGAAATCTTCTTGACACGAAAAGTCTTCTTCGGTCTCGATTTCGTAGGGAATGTGTTGGTGCACGTGCGGGTAATAGAATTTATGGATCGTGTGGTGATTCTCCAACTCTTGATTGAAATCCAAGCCGTAAAGAGAACACAGGTGCGCGTATTTTCTACTGTCGAAGTTCTCCTGAAATTATTGGTGCTAATTTAGAGCCAAAATATATGCCACCCTCGTCGGTAATCTTGAAATCAGGAAGTCATCGATTTCACTCAAGAAAATATCGGAAGAAGCAAGCGAAAAAAATCAGAAATCCTTTCAATTCCGGACTAAGCAATTCAAACCCAACTCTCAACAATATTGGGAACAGATAAAAAGCGACCTTAGCTCAGAAAAAAGCAATGCAGCATTTTCAAGTTCACGATCTCTCCTAAAATTCAACAGTGGATCCTGTTTACTTTTTTTTTTACTTTTCTCGTCGAAACAAATTAGTTAATTCCTGAAGTTCCCTTATATTTCCCTAATGTCTTTCCATCTACTGTAAAAAAAATATGTCTCAACACTGTATCAAGGCGCTAAAAATCCACTATTTTGAAGAAGTCGCCGCGGAACCGTTTTTATAACCAAACCCATGGGAACATCAGAACGCTTTAGATGGATTTTTGAGCTGTAATAAATTTCACTGAAATTGAATATCAAACTCGAACGGACGCTCGATTCAATAGCTTTTGCACGTTTAACACATTCTAATTATTATTCTGTACTTCGTCTAATTACATTGTTGAACGGCAATTATAGTGAACAGTTTAAAAACTTGAAACGTGAAAAAATGTATACACGTACTGTATAAAGATAATTTTTAAGAACTACAATACAGTAAACAATCTATACATCTAGAAAACAATTACGATAGCAGCATTTCGACTAGAAAATGTTTTCTTTTACGTGAGGTATTTTAGAACATGAAATTTCTTTTAATTTTGAGTGCAATGGTTATGAGTTTATGACCATTTACACATTTAACTCTAATTTAAAAATTTGAGCATTTAATTGAACGCCCTGGATTTCATACGACCAACTGCCCATGACCATTTCAAGTGCGCAAGATGCAGGCAAAATGGACGGTAATATATTGCATAAACTTATTGCTTTGGATTTCCTTGCAAGAATTCGTTTTATCATTTTCAGGACTACCCTCTGAATTCAGTACAGTACAACAGATTTCATCGGAGTTTCCCTTCATGAAGACGATCAAGGTATTGTTTCATTCGTACTGTACTATTCACCATTCAATCGACCCACCATAAGTAGATCTGGTCGGAAGAAGTACTCCTCAACGAACTCCCGGAAACTGCATGATTGCCGCCTAATTGCACAGGCGAATTGCTGTCCTATCAGACCGAAGTCCCTCATGAGATTCCTATCAATAACTGTACTTAGATTCGCTTCGCTCATTAGTCCCACTGCACAGTCCTCGAAGTGATCAGGGGTATCAACAACTTCAACGAAGGTGTAACAAACGAACACGGCATCAGGAGGTACGTTTTTCAAAAAAGGCGCGAAAACGTAAGCCATTTTCTGTGGATCGTAAGATCCTATGAGATTCGGGTGATTCCGATAGAAGAACACAGGCTTCGCTCTCTCGTTCTGGTCAAACGAAACCCAGACAATAAGGAACAAATTCGACGCGATCTCAACCCTGGTGTAATCTTCAGGCAATTCGAAGCACACAAACGGCGCGTGAAGGGTGAGTGTCAAGTCCCAGTTATGGCCGGCAGGTTCTTCGAATCCCATTTTCGGCAGCGCTGAACTTTCATTGGTGGGGAAAAAGGCGCAGTTTTCCGGTTTGCAAAGCGCGCGCTTTGAAGAATTTCGTCCCGGATCCGTACGAAGATCACCGTGAAATTTTGGGAATAATGTGTCTAATGACGTAACTGGTGTGATGATTGGGTGAGGGAAAGGGCATTCTAGCGAGCGTTACTGTTGTGACGCATTCCAGCATTCGAAAGACCTTCAGCGAGTTCCGATCTGAATGCCAGTAATTCACGGCGCGGATTCGAATGTAATAGTTTTCCTCTAGAAATTCTTCTTTCGGCAACGTAAGTAGTTTTTAATGCCCATAATTTTCCAGGCTTAAAAACTCGAGTTGTATTTATAATTGAACATCTAGGTGGGGTTCAGGCAAAAAACGTTTTACCAACCACTTTTTGAACAGGAACAGAGCAAAAGCTCTTTTCGTTCGAATAAGAGCTGAAGGTATATGAATAAATCAAAGAGAATACGGCCAAAAACGTCTCCAGATACTAAAAAATATACAGGCACTGATAATACAGTATTCTAAGGTTGATTTCTATACAGTACAGTACTGTACTCATGATTGACATCTTGTGGCATCACAAGATGGCGGACGCTCAACTTCTATCAATTCTCGATCGCTCTCTCAATACTGAACCCCACACCGATGACCTCCAGGGAATTTTAGAAGAGAAGCCCATGAACATGAAAAAAGCTGAACAACCACGAAACCAACACACCTTTACGAAAATTTCCTGACAGATCGGGCACTCCAGCTCAGCGTTTATCGTCCTTCCCACGTCCGCCAACAACTGTTGTTTCGCTGAAGCAATTTCCTCTTCGGCTTTCGCTTTCATTTCCGTGAGTTGATGCTCAAATTGCTCCAAACGCTTCTTCTCTTCTAGCTGTTCCGCAGTCTTGGCTTCGTCTGCAGCAATGCGCGCTTCTTCCTTCTGTTGAGCGAGTTCGGCCTCACGACTCTCGATCAATGATCGATACTCGTCCGCAATTTGCCGCAGTTTAGCCTCGGAATTTTGTTTAACTCGTTGCAGTTCTTCTCCATACTTCTCTTCACGCTGTTCCAGCAGGGTTTTGAGGATCGCTTCCCTTTCCGCGAGTTCTTCAATTTTCTCCCGCAAGGCTTCTTCGGCCTTCTGCTTTTTCTCCAACGTTTCAGTCTTTGATTCCAGCTCAGAGCCGAGTTTTTCCATGTGCTGGAAGACAAATAAAATAAGACGGGGAATTCAGGACTTGGTCAAATTATTTTAGAGGTGTTATGTTCAAGTGATTTAGCTGTGTGATGCGAAAAAAACTATCTTCAACATTTTGGCTTCATTACAAAGGTTTCGTTAGGTAAGATCAGCATTCATAACGTTGAGAATGCCGGACAAAATTATAGCAAATAATGTTCGCTGTACGGAATAAACAAACCTCTTCAAGTTCCATGCGCTCCAGTCTATTCGCCTCTAACTCAGCTACCATCGCGTCATTGTCATTCTTCTGCGTCATCTGAATCATCTCAACTTCTTTCCGTTGTTGTCGTTTAACGTCTGCGGCAGCTAGCCCGAAATCAAACGGGTCTTGTTGCAAACGTTCGGGAACACGAGGCTTAATTTCCTCCGAGGAATCAATATCGTCAACTTCTCGGATAAACTCATAACTGGAAATAGGAAACGTCATCAAGCAGACAATACTTGGATCATCCGCTGCGAGAAACTTACGTGAAGTGTGGATGAATAGCGAAGATAATTTTGTCACCAGGTTCCAACAGGGATTCACAAGTAGGGGCGACAGCAGTTTTGTTCACTAAAATGCCGTTTTGACTCTGTAAATAAGATTTTTAATTATTTGGTGCTACGAGAAATAACTACTGTAATCCTTCAATCGCATGAATACACTCATATCCACCAGGGAACCATGGGAACGATTAGCTTTCAACACTTAAGGTCCGTGCCCGCCCCCGGGAACTACACGTTTTCGGGCGTATTTTTTAGGTCAACTTCCATTTGGTCATAGAACATTGTCATAGAATTCGGAGGAAACTAGCTAAGCCTCGCAAAATGCTGCATGAGATTGTACTTACAAATGCGATGATTGTCCATCGCCCGTGGAAATCCCGCCGAATTTGGGCATGTTTCCTCGAAATCCGCAAATCTTCCAATACCACTTGACAGGATTTCATTCTTCCGATGTCGCAGCTCAACTTATCCGTCAATTCAACCTCATTGAACCCGTCGTTGGGTTCCTTCTTGGTAACTCGACGCAAAAAGAATCGTTCCCCGGGCAACCGACCCCCGAGGCGCGGTTGCTTCTCGTTTTGAGGAATAATAGCCAACGATGTTTCTGCCTTCCGCTTCGGATTTCGAGATTTCACTGAGGAATCAGACTCGGGCACTGAGTCGAGACACGAGCTTAATCCATCATTGGCCTAGAAAATAGACCAGATTTTTTTTTCTTCAATTTTTATGATCGACGAAGAAAATTCCGCGAGGTTCAATCTTGATTCACAATCGTAAAATTATCGCTCAGTGTATTTCCAAGAGAAGTAGAGCAATGAGATCATTCTGAAATACTGTCCGTATCATTTCACTCTCAGAAATTCCACGAAGAAAGAGAGGTTCATTTCACCCGATTTTGTCAACATGGCTGATGGAGGAAAATTATTCGACTACTTTCTCTAACCGAGCGAAAAATGTGCGACTTCAAAGCAACCAGTTTTTAAACATTTTTGCAGTGTCTCTGGGTAACGGAGCGCCTCAAAAAATGGACCAAAACCTTCTAGACGAAAAACAATTCAAGTAAACTTCAAAGATATAAACGAAATGAATTTACCTCAGCATAATTTTCCGTGTCGATAAGGTCCTCGGTCATTTTGTCAACAGGATTTGCCATTTCTCATGTCATAAAGAGGTTCTCATGAACAAATACATTTCACTAACTTTCACCTGAAAAAAAGATAAGGTTTCATCAAGTTCAGTACGACTGAACTGAAGACAAATGGAATGATTTCAAAAGCCCGAAAAACCAGCAATCTCAAAAAAATAAAAAATACACCAGAAAAAGCAAAAGTAACAAATAAAACTCACCTCCTGTGGTTTTTCACCTTCCACAACAATATCTCGAAATTCAGAAATCATTTCGACCACAATTTTTCTGAAAACGAAAATTAATTCCAACATAAGTAATATTAACCCGGTTTCGTCGATGTCACGTTCGAATAAATTTTTCACGTACTGCAATCTATTCCCTTTTCTCCACAAAAATACTACGATTTGAAGCACCAAAGCACAGCATGCCGCGATACAAAATTGTTCTCAATGAGGAAAGCACAGTGAATCGCAATCGTTCCAACACCCTTTCTCGTACTCATTTTCGCGACGTTGAAAAAAAAAAAGAAGTCGTGAAAAATCATCGGTTTTCAGTAAACTCGCACGTGCAAATCACAGGGAAGCCACACAAAAAGCGACTCATAAACGGTATCGTTTCTTCACGGTTCCTACGCCAAACATTCAAATTCCTCACAAGTAACAGAGCGCAGTTTATCACTTTTTTTGCTTCACGACAATCAAACACCGTAACCCGGAAAGTATAGAGATCGAGGGAAGAAAACACATAACCTCGGCCCAACCCGGGGACGAATTCCACCAAATAAATCTTCCACTTTTGCGCTTCGAAAAATCACAGGTCAGGATTCCTTGTAACCGTTGCGCAGTTTATCTAGTAGATATCGTCCTCAGACTCCGATGCCAGCATCGTCTTTTCTCTGTGAAAAAAATAAAATAAATAGAGCGAATCATTCTTAGATAAATAGATCAACAAGACCGACGGATCAGAGTCTGAAAGAGGCATGCAACTAACTCCCGACTGACAAGAACCGGTTTTCGATTTGCAACCCAAGAGAAGTCTTCGNTCAAGCTCAACATCACTTCGTTTCTTCAACACCGAGCGCAGAAGCCTGAAAAATAAAATCGAAGAACATGGACGTATTTAAAATTCCCGTACATTAGATTCATTTAGGCATATCGGAAAAGTACATATTTTTTGTCAAAATTTTTGATGGCAGCATGGGAAGAAACAATCCTAAGACGAGCACGAAATAAGATTTAGAATTCAATCCTTGAATGAACAAGCTTTATTCAGCTGTTTTCTCGGAAGCTAGACTGATTGATCAGAAGAAAATTATATTCGTACGACAGAAAAAGTGCCATTTCTAAGCATTCTCGAACATTCTGAGAGTCGCAAGCGAACTTCAAATACTCGAAAATACGAATCCACCTTCCACTATTGATACATTCCGATTGTAACCCCATGGCGACTTGGAAACCACGAAGAAGGCCGTATCAAAAAATATCCTGTATATGACTTTATGAATTTTCCAGACAGGACCTTTTTGTATTTCGTCTTTACTTTCGTCCTATTCTCAAGGATATCCGTCAGTTTACAAAATTACCAGTCAGTAAAAACGCATGACAGACATATTTTACGGAGTTGCCTCTAACAACAGAACTAACTCCACAATTTTTAAAAATCGACTGGCAAATATACAAAATACCCTCATATTGAAAATATTTAAAACTCACCAAGAAGAGAAGCTGACGATGAAAGCAACCAAGGCTAAAACAGCAATGTTGCTGGTGAAATCCGACTTGATGACGTGCGGAGGCGACAAAGTAGATGGACTTTCATTGTAGATCGAAGGCTGCATCTTCTGCTCCAAAGCATTCGTGATTGGACTCAAGCGCAAAGATCTGTTCGTACGCAAAATCATGTCCAGTATAGCTCCATTGGTCCAACCGAACCCCTTCTGAACCACGTATTCTCCACCACCACCAGGCTGTCCCACTGCGGTCGCGTCGTACTTGGTGAAAATAAAAATAAAAAACATTCATTTTTTCCGATATCTTGATTTTGCCTCACAAATTTCGCGAAAAATTAAAATTCGGATCCTTAGGACTCTTGAATTGAATAAAAAGTGTTATGCTTAAAAGGTAATAGAAATCAAAAATAATTATTTTCACGAAAAAAAAAAAAAACGTTCGCCTCGAAGTTCCAACGGGATTCAATACCCTATTTACTCGAAAATATAACACCGCGAACTACAAAATAAATATTTTTAAAAACTAATCACGCTGCGAATGTACGACACATTCCCATACAATTAAATTAAGACAGAATTTCTTATTTCCCCCTTCTATTCAACTTGTTGTAGGGTTAGTTTATTTGAATACAGTACCTCTACTGCAGGTTTTCCCTTGACGGATTGGGTTTGTAAGCAATCGTGCACCAAAGAAAAGCTATCAAATACTGTACTCGTTCTAAGACGACATCGAATTTTAGAAGCACATTTTTCACAACACTCGCCTTTGGAGAGTGAGTCTTGCATACAAATAAATACGGCATTGAGTTGGAATTTGATGGAGTTCTTCATTTTACGTCACTACAGTAGATCAATCGGAAAACAAAACAGAAAGCGCCTCATTTTGACAGATGAAGAAATGCGTGGGAAAAAAAATTCTGATCGAAACGAAATTTTGAGAGATAACCGTGTACAATCCATCAAGAAAATCGTGCATAAAACAAACCAAAATGTTCCGCTTTTCCATTTTTTCTATGAACATCGTAGTCTCAAATAACGCGGCGACTTTCGACGAATACCTTTTCATACATTGCTCCGTGTTTCATGAAGCCTTCATAACCGGAGAGCACCGTTTTCTCCGCGATCTGAATCGCAACTTCCTCAGCTTCTACCGACCCTGACCCCAGGAGAGCTTCGAAGACCAAGTGGCTCATGGGAGTCCAGGCGTTCGGAAAATCCCACTGTTCCCCAGTAGTCTCATTCGACACCGGCAATCCTCCCGGGTACTTCAACATACCCAAGCTATCTAGATAATCCACTACCATTTTCCCCGTGGCATCCAAGGACTTTCCTGGAGCAGTGCATCCTGCCCATAAAGGCACAACGTTCGATATGTAGAAATACGGACGACGCTTCTGCAATAATATCAGCAAAACAGATTCACACAATACTGTATCACAAAAAAATATAAATTTAAACAGAATAAGGAAATAAAGACTTACACCACTGAAACCGTCGTAATCGCCCCACATTCCGGTCTCCTTATTCCAAAAGACTTGCGTCAAGTTATCACACAGTTCTTCATGCAAATCCGAATATTTTTTCCGCTTGACTTCATCGCCCAGCGATCCATGAAAGCCAGCCAAAATCAAAGCGTTTTTTGTTAAATATGCTTGCAGGTCGACGGGCAAGATATACGTGGCAGCAGTGAATGAAACGTTCCCTGGAAGACAGATAACGTCATAGAAGAGATGAACAGGGTCCAGCTCCTTTTTCGATGCAGGTGGACTCCATAACGAAATTCAAGGGACCAGACAAAATTCGTGGTTCAAAACCCCTCTTAAAATGGGTAACGAACCGTATGGTAAAAAAAAAATAATTATACACAGAAAATCGTCAAGGGAGAGTTTACGTATTCATTGAAATCTTCATACACGTGGACTCTCTCTACAGCGATCTTGTCTAAAGAGAGTTATTTGTCTCGCGGGGTTCTTTCCAATGTTACAGAAAGAACAACGATTTTTTTTCTGGTCCTTCAATTTCGCTGTCGAGAGATTCCACCCGTACAGTACCTGTGACAATGGGTTCGGTACATTTTTCGGCGCATGCGTACGAAGTCCAAAACCTCGAAGTAGAGTTCAGAATTTTTCGTGCTTCAAATTTTACATGAAAAACACGTACGGTACACACTCATGGAATCCGGGTGGTGGACATGCACTGTACAGTAAATACGTTTTTTAAGTGATTGATCAGGAAAATTTTGGAAAAGGTGCCTTTATAATTGAAAAATGATATTCGGAACGTAATCAATTCTAGTGCTTTACTGCTACACAAAGGAGAATGCCAGAAGCCGAGGCGGCATAGAGTAAGGACTCCTCCTTACACGCAGACGCGACATCTGGTGGTAACCCTGCGAGCGCGCGACAATCCGCCCACTCGCGAACCACTTATCAGGGGAGAGATCTGGGGCAATATCGGGAGGAGCTGGCGAGCCAGGAACTCGGTCGGCACTTTGTGATGAGCTTGTGACGCGAAAGCATCTCTTGACCTTTTATACTGTGACCTTATTCTTGTGAAGTACCGAGGACATTAAATGACGTGTTTACTAGCATGGGTCTAGGTGTGTTCTTTTGTCAAAACCTTATTGGGGGCTCTGAGCCTACAATAGTTTTAGCCTGACCCTACGCAATACGCCGGTACTTTCACAATGCCAAGAACGACGGAGAATTCGAAAGCCGCAGCTGCGTCAGCTCTCTGCAAGCTCGCATCCATTTCCGAGGAGGACAAGGAGTTCGTCGACACCGACCCTCCACTGACAGAACTGGCAACACACTCCCGAGCTTCGGGGACGATGATGTCCAGCATCTGGGAGAACCTGCCGCTGTCAACGCTTCAGATGCTCGACGATGCCTTCCACCTCGGGCATCCACCTACTGCAGATAAGTCCGAGTATGCCTCCCAACTCGAGCGGTTCCAGATCCCTGTTACCGCTATCCAAACTCTTTTGAGGGGCAACGACCGCTGCATGGTGCCGAGACGACCACATCCTGACAATGACGACAACTACGGCGGAGGAACACTCCTCCCCACTTGTAAGCCACAGTGGCTGAACGATCTACAAACGCCGCAGTTACCAAAACAGAGGGGCGACGAAGACTTCGAGGATTACGTGCTACGCCTGCGGAATACCTTGGCCGTGGGGAAGGTCTCAGAGGAGAACCGCATAAATTGCCTCCTCAACAACACATCGGCGCAGATCCAGCTCACCGCCAACCGAATCTACCAGCATGGAGTGACAACGTTCGAGCACCTGGTTCAGGCAATCGCTAGACGACATCCAACGCCGCATCTCGACTGGCTGAAGCGATTCCGGTCAATGAAGCCGACCAACGGCAAGTGCTCCTTCAACTTTGGGGAGAGCCTGCAGGACAAATACGAAGCCTACCTTCAGATGACAGCCAACGAGATGATTGCCTCCAAAACGCTAATTCAACACGTGTTGAAGGAGCAGCTCTACAACATTGCCGAGACCGGACTTAAGAACAAGATCCGACGAAAATGGACGCGCAACCGCCTGCTGACGTGGGACAAGCTCGTGGACATCACAGAGGCGTATCGCATCAACAATTGAACAACCTTCACCTGTTCCTCATCCACCAAATCCGGTTCGAAGCAACGAGTGGACCCAAAGGACCTGCCCCTGAGACAATGGTGCGACCATCACAAAAGAATGGCGCGCCATAGTTCGCAGGATTGCCAACTAGGCTTACGACAAGGCGGTCAGACCAGTTCTTCCTCTTTATCCGATGCAGCCGGGAGGACCGGAACCAGTTCCAATTTTTCGACGAGTTAGCAAAATTTGAGTGTTGATGACGCAAATGTAACATGTTACCATTGTCACCAAACCGGTCATAGACTTCACGCATGCCCGGAACTGTTGGGAAACGCGATCTTGTCTCAGTGAATGCAGCGCACTGTTTCATGACAAGTTTACCTGCCACCCCTCCCCCGATTTTACTCCAGATCTCACTTAAAGGGTTTGCTTTATCCACACTCCTAGATACGGGCGCATCCCATTCTTTTGTTGCCAAATCGCTGGTGACCCAGCTTGCCCTGCCATCCCAACCGTCATTCACCACCGTTATTACCGCGCTCGGTCCAAATGCTGTGCAGGTCTTGCGGATTGTTGAGGCCCCCTTTGTTTTTCAGGGCACCACCCATCATGGGGCGTTCTTGGTGCTGCCCAGTATGCGTGAATTTCCCATGATTGTGGGTCAAAATATTTTGTTGCAGCTCCCTCTGGCGATTACTCTTAATGGGAAGCGAATTTTCACGGGCTTTCATGAGGTGACCCGGGCACCTTCTGTTCCAACTCTCTTGGTGGGGGAAGGGATTGCTTTCATTGACAGGCTGCCCATGGAACGGGCGCGCATTTCACATATTCTTCAACAACATGCTCCGCTTTTCCGCCAATGGTCGGGCAGGCAAGGACTGTTTGCTGATTACGTGGTCCGCATTCCAACAATCAAAGCCTTGCCACCAGCAACGCGCCAATATAGACACTCCATAGAGCAAAATATACCTTTTTCCGAGATCATCGATTCTTATCTTGCAGCAGGCATTCTTGAACCAGCTGCTTCCCCCTATAACGCGTCCGCCTTCCTCGTCAACAAGAAGTGCAAAGACCTGGCCGCACCTGCAGAGAAGCAATTCCGGTTGGTTGAAGACTACACCAAACTGAATAAGCTGATCATCCCCGACCACTACCCGATGCCAACAGTCCAAGAGCTTTTGGATGCATTGGGGAGGAATAATCGGTTCTTCTGCACGCTTGACCTGCATGCGGGGTATCACCATCTTCCCATTGCGCAGGAAGATCATCCGCAGACAGCCTTCATGTCCCCGCGGGGACAGGTTCAGTACAAGGTATTACCGTTCGGTCTTAAAACGGGGCCGGCCCTGTTCCAGCAAACCATTAATACTATCTTGCGCCCCTTTCTGTTTAAGCGCTGCCTGGCATACGTTGATGATGTCATTGTTTTCGGGGAAACTTTTGATGTGTTGTGCGATAACCTGCAAGTTGTGTTACAGACTTTACAGGAGGCCGGAGCATGCGTGGACATAGTCAAATCCACCTTTCTGGCGCACAAAACCCTGTTTCTTGGCTATGAAGTCGACCAAACGGGCAGTCGGCCCGCAGAATGGAACGTGGACGCAGTCCGCAAGTATCCGCAACCAGAAACTTGCCGTCAGATGCAGCAATTTTTGGGCATGGCAACATATCTCCGTGCCCATCTGCCAACAAACTTTGCCGATGCCGAGAAGGCCCTACGTTGGATTATTCCACCCAAACCTGCCACATGTTTAACCTGGTCTCCTGAAGCCTTACAAGCATTCCAGCACATCAAGAACGTGTTAGCTGATACAGCCCGCTTGGAGCGTGTCAACCCAAAGTGGCCCATTGCTGTGCACTGCGACGCCTCTGCAATCTTGCTGGGCGCGGTGCTTGTACAAACGGACCCGGAAGGAAATGAGCGGGTAATTGAATATGCAAGCTGCACCCTCAAAGATGCGGAAACCCGGTATTCAAACATGGAGCGCAAAATGCTTGCCATTGTTTGGAGTGTGACAAAAAAATTTCGTCATCATCTTGTTTATCAAAAATTTACTATCTTTACAGATCACAAGGCGCTGCTGGGGGAACTCTGCAATCTGAGCATTTAATAAATTTACAATCTAAACTGGTAACGTTTGATTTCGAGATCATTCACAGACCAGGACGCTCCTTACAAGCCCCTGACGCACTGAGCAGAATTTTGTTAAATAATGCTGCTGCCCGCATGGAACCCAACGAACAGGAACAGCTGAACATCATCAACACCTACCATCAGGAGCTTGGGCATGCAGGGTGGAAGAAGGTTTACGCAACACTCCGTGAGTGCTTTTTCTGGTCCAAGATGCGGCAGGATGTGTGGAAACGCATTCTGGCCTGCGATCTGTGTTTTTGCTACAACCAGCCCACGCAAATGGTTGGGGCTCACATGAGCGCGGTGGAGTCTAACAGGCCGCGTGAATGCCTTGTCCTGGATTTCTATGGACCCTTGCCAAAATCTAAGGAAAACTTCCGGTATGCCATTGTGGCGGTAGATCATTTTAGTAAGTACATGATTGCCCAACCTATTGAGGCCGCTGACACTAAAACAGTTGTTCCTTTTCTAACCGAAATTTTTTGCCAAGTGGGGTTGTTTGAAATCGTACACTCTGATTGTGATTCCGTGTTTTCAGGCAATGCTTTTAAACATTTTCTCAAAGCCTATGGCATCCAACAGCATCTAGCCCAGGCTACGCATCCGGAAGGTAACGGGTGCTGTGAGAGATCAATCAAGACCCTGTTGCACATTCAGGCGAAAGTGGTAAAGGGGGATGACACAACATGGGCCCAACACCTGCCTGCTTCCGTCCGCTCTTACAACAGCACCATCCATTCGGCTACTGGGGTAACCCCCACTGAGGCCATGTTTGGAACACGCACAATTTTGGAAGCGGATCACAAGTTTGGCGCAGTACCAGAGGCTCTGAACGTGTCCCCTGAAGAGCTTCAGGAGAGAACCGAATTACATCACCAAAAATTTTTGCAGCAGGCAAACAAGCGAAAGCTGGGACATTTTTCCCCAGGCAACGTGGTGGCTGTGTTTCCACGGCTGCCGACAACCCAAACTCATGCTGCTAATTGTCATTTTCTCACTCATAAAATAGGGCCGTTTGTTTTATCTTACCAGGGACAAGGCAAGTATCATGTCGGCGCGGGACCCGACATCCGGAGGGCCAACGCGTGGGAAATGGTGCGCTACAGAGGTCTTCCACGGGCACCAAATCCGGATTTCAAGAAGCAGATGGGGCTGATTCACCAGGCCTCAGGAAAGGACAGCATCGTACCAACCAACGACCATTCATATGCTCAGAGGGCGTCGGAAGCACCTTCAGAACAGGAAAGGACAACAGCATTGGACCACCCATTTGGGCAGCCGCCCTGCCAACAGACAACAGGGGGTTCAGGGCAACAGAAAAATCCAAAATGCTCTTTTTATTTTAAACGCAAAGGCAAGGTACAAAAACCACGAATTTTCGAGGGGGGGGGGAGAGTAAGGACTCCTCCTTACACGCAGACGCGACATCTGGCGGTAACCCCACGAGCGCGCGACAATCCGCCCACTCGCGAACCACTTATCAGGGGAGAGATCTGGGGCGATATCGGGAGGAGCTGGCAAGCCGGGAACTCGGTCGGCACTTCGTGATGAGCTTGTGACGCAAAAGCATCTCTTGACCTTCTATACTGTGACCTTATTGTTGTGAAGTACCGAGGACATTAAATTACGTGTTTACTAGCGTGGGTCTAGGTGTGTTCTTCTGTCAAAACCTTATTATAGCGTTGCGTCAAATTGAAATACAGTACCACTGAAACTGCCAGTGACATCTACCAAATTAAAACAATTCTTGTATGTGACGAAGTAACTAAATAGGAAGAGATTTAAATGGATGACACAAACCCAAACTCAACTACTGAATTCAGGTTCGTTCTTATACGTTAAAACACGGATACATTTTCAAGAAGACGTGAATTTCTCCAATCTTCTTGGTCACTGTTCAGTAATGGACAAACTCCGTCACATTATCAGTACGCTGACAATGATTACCTTTATTAGTGCCTTCGTTGATGAACCAACGCGAGGAGAAGTCCCATCCCGACTCACAAGCTGACGTCACCCCACGAAAAAACCTTTTCCTGTCGTCGACGTTGGTCCACATGGCAGCATTAAGTATGTCTTTCTCGATTTGTTCCGGACGTGGTGTAAACACCTGACCATCGTAATGGAAGATACGTCTCTTCTTCCCGTCCACCTCAATCGTCCCAGTTCGATTCCGCATCCAGAAATCGAACTCTTCGTCCAGCAACTCGATATTCATCCTTTAAAAGTACATTCAGCATTAGAAGTACAGTATTTAAAAAATAAAATCGGGATAGCCTGAAAAAATACCGTAGCTTACGAGGAACCAGCAACCAGAAACTCACTTCAAAAAATCCCAGTCACCGGTGGCGTCCACGTAATCTTTCAACATCGGGATCAGGAAAGGGGGCTGAGATCGTCGTTCATAATGCACCATGCCACCATTTGGCACAAAACCGAATCTTTGCACCATGGTCAGGAAATTTTCCAAGAGTCCTTTCACAGTCTGAGTCATTCCAGACGCTAGCAGTCCTTTAGCAATCCAATAAGAGTCCCTACACGAAATTCAAATGAGCTATCGAACGACATAAAAATGCATGAGATCTTCAAAAGGTTATTCAGTACAGTGCAGTACAGGATTTCGAAAAGATACTGAGCGGTGGAAAACCAGCATTTCTGTTGCAATTGAACTTCAAAATATAGCGTTCATCAAAACATATCCAAAAGGGAAGGGAATCCGTCAAGGTCAATTTTTTCTTTTCTTTTTTGTAGTGATACTCATGTGAAGCCTACAGGAAAAGATCGATGTTTTGGCGTAAAATTAAGATGACATCTAGCCAAATTACAGTGAAATGGACTCATGATGAATATTTATTACATGTACTGAAACATTTTTACTGCGCATCAAGTTTTCGGACATACAAAATAATCAAGAACATATCTTCGAGTGAAAGTCAACAGGCGTTATCCGAGATGAAAGTTGAAAATGTTTGAATCAATCAAGTAATTCAATGGTGAAAAAATCCGCAAGTGTGTCTCGTCCTCTCTTAATTGCGAACTCACCAATAATAAAATGAAGAAAAGAGTCCACCGGGAACTATGTGACTATTCGGCACATAGATATAAGCATAGCGGTCAGGCATGAGTGCAACGTAAGGCGCAGTTTTCCTCGTCAGGTCTGGCCAAATGGCATTCAAATCCAACGCGAATTTCCGCAACACCGGGTCTTCAATCCTCTTCAGCTTTTCAGGCCTAGAAGATTAGGTTTTGGGTTAAGCATTAACTAGTCTAATACAGTCTACTGAAGCATTCTCAAACGTAAAGTGATTATTGTACGAGCCTTGCCGATTTCTGCGGTGTAAGCAAATTACTGTCGAAGCTAAATGAAACAATTCTTCTAAATTAATAATTTAATAAAGTCTCGGTTGGTGGGTAATACAAACGTATCAGGAATGAACAGTTGTCACATGCCCTAAAAATCCTACAGGAACCAAACACTATTCTACTGTTCTAAAAGTCGAGGATTTTTCCAATACATCGACCATAGAAATCAAATTGGAGAAATCTGTGGAAGTGCAAAAATGAAAAGTCTTTCAAGCGGAAGAAAGCTTGATTTGTACAACGGCTAAAGAACAAGGCTTATTGACAATACAAACTGAAGTGGGTGGTTTTAATGAAGTCTTTCGGTTTTTGCCTCAACGTTAGGAAAAATATTAGAAAAATAATTTTTTATGAGTGACGACAGCCTCCGCATACATATCTTGGCAAAGTCTTACAATTAAAGATGGTTCGAATATGGAAGGTAACGGATTCACACTCAGACCGTTTTACTGTCGGAAAAAGAGGCATATTTTTTATAAATAAAATTAGAGTCGAAACGTTGACGAAAAACTACCATTCAATCACTTCGAGATACATTTCTCGTCGATTTTTTTTCTTAAGTTGTCTAAAAAAACCGAGGAAGAATGACGACGGCTTCATCTTACACATCCTGACGAAGACTTGAAATTAAAGATAGTTCAAATATGCAACCTATTTAAACAAAACTTCTGGTACATTGGGCATTCTTGATCGATATTTCGTTGAAAAATTATGAATGAAATGTGCGCCGAAAAGTAAACGAAAAACTATCATTTAATTCCTTCTATATACATTTTTCATCGATTTCTAAAACCGACGAATACTTCAGTGTTCAGTGGTACCCCTAGAAACCTGTACATTCCGCACAAATACGGAAGATTTTCGAAGCTTCAGCGGGATTAATTCTTTCGGTTTTTTTTAAGAAGAAAGTCAGACATTCAACTAGAGTTTTCAACAAGGAACCTCAGTAACACCAAAATTTGCAAAAAGAAGCTCACTCTGCACTCCAATCAACAGGGAAAGCAGGAGCGAAGACATCGTCAGCAGCTTCAAAGAATTGAGCCATGTACACCTCCAGGTCCAATTTCGTCGGACTCCCTGTGGTCTTCTCCACCAAAGAATCAAAGGCCATCCTCGCCTCGTCCGACGGCTTCTTCAACTTGAGCGTATGCCAATCATGTCGAATTCCTGCCTCCAGCGCCCTTTGAAGCAACGGGATGTAGCAAAAAATACTATCGCACGCATAATCTCCCGCATTGTTCGATAACTTCAGTTTTTGCAAGGAACGTCCAGCGACGGTAGAGAAAAGACGCAAGCTGAACAAACTGACTAAATGCACTTCGTGTAGGCGCATATCGGCAGAAATTCGACGCAATAATGCTCCTGCGCTAAAGAGCATTACCAGCGCATTCTACAACACAAAGATAAACGCCATCAATACTTTTGAATAGAGTTATGCGCCGAAAAAATCAACATGAACGACAAGAAGCAAAAGGGCAAATGAGAAATTTTAATATTCAACCCATCATCGATATGCTGCGGAAAAAGCAGAAACCGGACTGAAACAAGAAGCTGCGAATCCGTACTGACGTAAAAAATAAAAAGAAAAGGAAACTATGTTCACCAATGTTGAAAAATCCTTCCGTAGAAAAATCGTTTCCGCTCAGCATTAAAGGCAGGAGGGCTTAAAGTGGTCCCCACGAAGCTATATTTTATTGCAGCTTTCAAAGTGACAATATCTTTGGTGCCCAAAAGCCATGCACAAAAAAAGGGTCTTCGAAATACGTCGTCATAGTAGAAGGCGTGAGAGATGTTTAAAAAAAAAGCGACAGTCCTCAACGTCGCCATGGACTCACAGTTTGAATCGAACATCGGGCTCGAAACATCGGCGGGGCGAAAAAACCGGCAGTGTGACCAAAATAATATCGTAACCAATCGCTCCGGGGAAGATGCATTCGCGGTTTAAATCCGCGAGAATATCAATAAATACAGTCGTTTTCATAGCAGGCCATCTTTCATCTTTTTTGTGTCGTGTCAAAGCGGCTTTCGTTTCTTCCGCAATGAAGGTGAAATCAGTCAAAGCAATCCGTTTCTTCACATTCGGGAGCCTTTCTGCTGCAGTACCTAGATAATAATGAAACACAAGAATGCAGTACTGACTTGTGCAAAAAAAAGAAACTTCCTTGTCCAAGCAACATTCACGCCAGAGCTATAAAACGATTCCATCACCTTAGAACGACGCTTTCCGACGGCAATTGAAAATTCGCAGGGGAGACCTAACTGCGGACGACCTCTGACATGTGGACGATTCAACTTAAAGACACTGAACCAGAAAATCTGCCCCGACATTTAGAAAATGCCTCAAGATACGGACACAGCCAACGTTTAAAAAAATAATAGAAAAATTCATTTTTCAAAAGTTCGATTATCTCTGCAATAAACTGAGCTACTTCTATTCACAAAAGTTCAAAATAAATCTTGTTACACATTTCCTCTAATTTATAATTCAAAACGAGTAATATTGTGCTTCTCTTAATAGGAATTTTTCCACCAACTGTGTTATGCAAAACAAAATTCGTGCCTAATTTTTGCGTTTTGGACTCCCTTTCATGTCAGAAGGGTAGATTCGGCATGATTTTCTTGAGCACAGTTACTTTCTATATCCTCAAGTGAAAAAGAGTCACTCAATTCTCTGGAGGACATTTTCCAGAAAAGAAAAAAAAAGTTCCATTGACTTCAATGTGGACAAAATAAATTACGGTACCGCAGTTCTCCTCTTCGTCAAAATTTGGAAAAAATCCCACAAAATATTGAATCTATAACACTGTTTTCTCAACTTCAGGATGCAGAAAACCACACCGAATCTATCCTTCTTTAATTGAAAGGAGCCCAAAAAGAAAAACAAACACATCACTTGCTTTAGTGCTCACAGATGATGGGGAAAAATCTGAAAAGAGAAACACAAATTAAGCTGCTTCTGATTAAGCGTTGGAATACATTTACAAGATTTATTTTGAATTTTTATATAAACAAATAGCTCAATTTCTTCAAGAAAAATCACACTTTGAAAGAATACAATTTTCCCCATTCGTCTAGAAATGTTTGTAAAGCGTCCAAATCTGGACATTGTCCTGAGGTCGGGGCAGATGTTTTGAGCGTCGGATCCCTACGTAGAATCGTTTTTACGTCGGGGACCAATTGCATATTCGAGTACAGTACAGTAGTAAATTCTACAAAGCCACGAGAATACGCGTAACATAGACCTGATGATAAAAAAAAAAAAAAACAAGCATAACACGACAAAAAATAAGGTACACGAGTATGAATGACAAGAAAGACGGCAATGCAAACCTTGGCCCGGTCCGACCGCTCAAAGTCGTCTTCCCCGGGAAGCGGCGTGTACTCCCTAGACACGACACAGAGGAACTCGGCGTGTTCCTCACCGCCGTAATTGTACTGAGATCCAATATTGACCAACTGCTCGAACCGCCAACCGTCCGACATGGTCGAAAGCATCTGCGTCAACTCGTCTTCATGGCACTGGATCACGCGATAAACGCACTTTTGCGAACCGTGCGTCTCGATCCGATCTCGATCTCTGATCTTCGTTCTTATCACTTTGATGAGTTCTGTCACGTTGTAAAACTCCGCTTCTTCCAAAACACCTGGGGTATAAAAAAATATACATGCACAGCTGGGCCTCGATAAATCGAGTATCTCCCTACGTCGAATTCTTTTCAAGTCCTTCTCTGAATTCCCTTACAAACAATGCATTAAAAACCTCCCAAACTCGACTCGAAGGCTTCCCTCCACAAATATCTATAACTTGAATTTTCTCGAGGCCTTTTGGATATTATTTTTTTGGCACAGGAACGATAAAAGCGATAAAAATGTCACCATGTGTTATGAAAGAAAGTGAAAGAAAAAATTGGAAATTAAACCCTTGCCTCCATTTTCAGCATCCTTTCAACTCATTTAAGTTACAATTTAAGACCTAGAATATTAAAAATTACGATATCCTGTAATTTTTCTTCCTTTCCCTCAACAAAAATACTTGTTTGCCAAACCAACCCGAGTCGAATTTTTTCGCTGGTCCGTAGAAATTTGATTCAAAGAGTTTCGAATTGTATATACCGAATAATAATCATTTGGAAAAATTGCTTGTTTAAAAATGGTGTCACACAAACGCGTTTTCGTCAAATTACGGGTGCTACGTGGCAATGAATATCAGGCTTCAGTTCTTAACCGTGAGACACTCCCAAACCTTTCCACCATGAAACGGAAAATTCCAACGAAGAAGCTAAAATGCATTACATCACAGGGGATTTTTTCGTACGAAAATCATTCGCCTGAGAAGAATCAATTTTACGGAATTTCTGCAAAAGTGATGAATCATCCGTAATTTCAAAGGAAATTGCTCAGAATTGTAAAACTGAAATCAAAACATCATTCCGAAAGATGATGAAAAACTTTGTAGATCATCTCCGGCTCCGTGACAGTAAAAATGGGACTGGGTGAGAATTTCTGAATGCGTTTATAGGAGTCGACGAGCGACCAGGAACTCACCTTCCAGAGAAATATCCTTGTTCAGGACGAGCTTCCCGTGACGTAAATAGTTGAGAATCGGTCCGAAATACGTCGGATCCCTATCAATCATGTACGCACCGGTTTCATCCTGAATAAAAGTTCGAGAAAAACATTCCAGGACGTCAACGCGATGGACGAAAGCATACACGAGTAAGTATCTTGAAATCACGAGAGACACAAACTTCTCAGCGTTGAGAAATTCAGAAAATAAATCTAGGCTTTTTCTTATTCTCCCTCGACGTCCGTGACCCCGTAATTTTCTTTTCCATTAAATATTTATACATGAAATGTGCTGTAGTTCAATTTGCGGGACAAAAGTCAGGAAACGCAAAACGAGCAAGGTCAGGACAGACCTATTCAGTGTACAAAATGGGAGATTTCAGACCGGCGCAAGTCTCGTGAATCGAAATGGCAATCTTTTTTTCTCATCAGTCACTGAATAAAAAACTAAGTTCTTCCCACTTGACCTCCCCAACTCACTAATTTTCTTCACAAACTAGGGGAGGGTGCCCAGCCACACCAGGGCAAGTGAACACCACAGGAAAAGATTTTAACTTTTTGGGAGGATACTTTTTTAATTTTAAATTTTTTAAAATTGAAAATAAATATACCTGCCAACCCTGGCATCATGAACAAGATTTTTAAATATACACTAATACCAATACTGTATAGGCAAGCAGGGTGCCCAGCCACTCCTGGGCACTGGAGACATGTCCATCAGATCACACATGGAAGAGGGCATGCATACAGTACCATAAAAAATGGCAACTGAGGCACTTTAAAATGGTAATAATGTAATACAGTATTACTAATATTCTACTACCTGTACTACTATTCTACTAATATTTTTTTTTTCAAGTATAAAAAAGTACTGTATAATGTTCAGAACTCCATTTTGCATTCACATTGCAAAATGGTTTTGTTTGGTTGAACAGAAAATTTGTAATGAATTTTCAAATTGAGAATTTGATCAAATTTCTAGCTGAGGGTGCCCAGCCACACCTTGGCATTGGGACACATTTTACATTAAATTTTTGTTTCTATAAAAGTAGCTCATATATGTTTAATGATACAAATTATGCAGATGTTTTTTTTCATTTAAACAATTCACCAGGTTCATTAGGTTTGTTTTTGTCAGATGCAGGTCAGCACTAGAAAGATTTGAGGGCACGTCCAGACGCTTGTCTGACGCTGAAGAAAACAAGGTCAGGAGTTCAAGTAAGAATATTAGGCATTACATTCCCCGAGAAACCTCAGATAATAGCGTATAAATTTACTGTATTCACACCTTATTTACCGGATTATAACTAAGCACCCCATTTTTCCGATTTTAGGAGCTCAAAACCTAAAGGGGGAAGAAGAGTGCTTACATTTGCTGTATTTGCGTGCATTTTTACGCGATTCGCATAAACATATTCGAGGAGTGCTTACATTCGCTCGAAGGCATGTACTTTACTGTATTTAAAGACAGTGGAGCCCAGACATGCGGACGTAATTGATGCTTGGACCTTTTCCGTTTGTCAGTGCGTCCGTACGTCGGATCACATCTTCTCATCGACTTCCACGGGAACAAATTTAATTGGGTCTCCAATGCATCAAAAATTAGGAAAGAAATCTACAAAAAATTTGTAATTTTCTCCACTTCCAGATACGGAAAATAACCACAGAAAAAAGCAGAACCTTATCTTTCGGCATCAGAAGGAGCTCAAGAAGCAAAGAACGTACGAAGTCCAGCTGTACTGTGCGCACATGATGGGAAACACTTGGAAAAAAGCACAAAACTAGCCTGATTTTTATTATAACTTATAATTTTATGATGAAATCTATTTTTACTTTCATGATAATAAATAGTGTAGTTCAATTTTTTCAAAAGACATCAACATTAAGAAAAATATAATCAGTCATTTTTTCTAGAAATGCTGGAGAAGTATGCGTAGCTCAAGACATAGTTCAGATGTCAGGGTTGTTTTTTTTTTCAGTCTGAGGAGTCCCAAATTCAATCGTCCGTATGTCGGGGTCCCACTGATACTTTTAGGGAAATTTTTCGAACGGGGAAACTCACTCTATCGGAACTCAGCTCCGGGTCATTTTCACACAGCCGACACAGGAACGAGTTGGAGTCTCGCTTCAAGGTCGTCCTAGTCGTCAGGAAGTAGGATCCTCCGACGTTCAATCGGATCCACTGTTTGCTAGCCGACTTGGGAGTTCGCACTGGAACGAGTTCTTCCTCCGAAGGCGTCTTGTCATTCAACGGGGACAAACTACCCGCGTCACACTTGCAACTCGATATACCCGAAGTGACCGAGTCGTCGTCCATCGAATGGTCAACGGCAACATGTCCGATTGCGGGCGCGTGATTACGTGGCGGAGAGGACTGACACGTTGCCATCACACTTTTCTCGCGCTCATACGGTTTATCGCAGATAAATTTTCAACAAATCCTGCACATGGAGAAAAAGGCATCTCAAGAATTTTTCGGAACAAATTTAGAATATACGTGATACGTTTTCTTCCGTCATGCCCCCACATGAAATCGAGATGTTACTTTTACTGCACTTCAAGTAGGTGTCGCCTCCATCGCAACCAGTTCTATAAAATGTGCAGCAGGATCCCCTATCCTGTACAACCAGATTTTTTTTCAAATACAGTAAGCAAAAAATGAACAATGACATGACATGACATCAGTGTCAAGAGGTAAACCACTTTCAAATGCTCTCAACACCATATTACAGTTGAACCTTGATGACTCTAAACGTCCCAAAGTCAAATTTCTTCAAGAACACAAACTCGCAGGCTTTCCTCCTCATATCTCTATAACTCGAATTTTACAACTGGACGCCTTTTGACTAGAATTTTATAGAAAATGAAAGAGAAAAGCAATGAAAATATAATTTGAAGCATTTTGAAAGGAAGGGAGAGACTATTTGGGGAAATAATTGTTTGCCTCAACATTATGCATACTACCAACTGATTTTTGAAGCAATTCAAGGCAGAATATCAGATTAGAATCTCTTGTAAGTCTTCCTCCCCCAAAAATTTCGTTCCCAAAACTCAAATCCCACCTATCTCAAATTATTTTTACTTTTCCCTTGAAATTCAACTCAGAGGGCATTTATCGTATTCTTTGATATTCGGTCATCCGTTTACACTGATGTCATTTCAGTTTTACAACGAGTTACATGTTCTTGGATGCCTGGTTAATCATAGGTCATGACAAGAGACAGATAATCGGTGATTCAACCGCATTAGGATAGGTTCGTTAAATCAGTTCTGGTTGAACAGGTTAGAGAAAGGGGAGACACCTACCGGAAGTTCAAAAATCCCAAAAACGGGGGTGAAACAGAAAAAAAAAGTACCGAATAATCATCGCAACCTCATCAGCGGGTCATTCAGCCCAGCGTTGGATTCGGGTCAACTTTCACTTCACATATCAAAACAAAAAACAAACTGCGTTGAAAATCACATTTTAACAACTCCTTTCTCAATATTCTCCGACGCGTGGACTTCGAGATCTTGCTCAATAAAATCCAAAATTAATTCCATCAGCTCTTCGGTCAGTACAACGGGGAATCCACTCAGTCAGAACCCGATTGCACTTTCCTGTTTGGGTCAGAATCGCTGCCAGAATCAGATTTCGAGCCAGAATCCGAACCACTCTTCGATTTGCCAGATTTGTTGCTGCCGGACCCAGACTTTCCGCCGTCGGATCCGGAACCAGAACCTGATCCAGATTTCGATTTGGATCTAGACTTTGATCTCGATCTGGACTTGGACTTTGATCTCGATCTGGATTTCGATCTGGATCTAGACCTAGATTTGCTTCTGGATTTACTCCGACTTGAGCCAGATCTGGAACCCGAACCAGAGCGAGAAGAACGGGATCCTGAGCGGGATTTCCCACTGCCACTGTCGCTGCTGACGCGTCGGGCGACCGTTTTCCGCTTTTTCTCGTTTCCACCGTCTTCCGAGGAAGAACTCGAAGAAATGACGGCTTTCGATACAACTCGCGACTTCTGGACTTTTGATAGTCCGTCTTCGTCGCTTCCCGCCTTCTTCTGTGAAGAAAATATCACAGCCAGTGATCATAAAAGAGGAATAAAACGTTTTTCGATTTACTTTCTCACATAAAACGTAAAAATTTATACGTGGATACGCAGAATGAAGCAAACTAAATCAGACATCAGAACCCTCGCGAAGTAAAAAAAAATTGAAGAATTGCATTTGCTGTGAATTCTCAACAAGACCATTCTACCCAAGAATTTTTACATATACTGTACCACACACGAAAAAATTCTCCGTATTCGAATAAGTATCAAAGCATTCCACAAATGCTGATATCGTTTCATTTTTCTCCTTTACACATTAAATTATGACTTCTAACCCTTCAAGAAGAAAACCGGCGATTCAGGGATACCAGCAAAAGTTTCCGTTAATTTTGTTTACTGCGTTTTTTTTTACTGAAGCCTCTGAAGGAAATCGGCAACGCTGATTAACTACCACATTAAAATAACGCATAAAGGGAAGTAGTAGGGGGCAATTTAGCTGTTGGATACTTTTCTTATACTATTCAGGAAAAAATCGGGCGGTTGGAAAACTGGGGAACATTTGGCGGGCAAAAAATGAGCGTGATTCTGGATAAACCTCTCTTGCTATTTGATGATCGTGAAGTCCCTTCCTTGACTGGTTATGTTGAGCAGAAAAAATTAAAATCGCCATGCACGCAGAATTCTGAACATTATTTTCTCCACTTTTGAAGCAGCTCGTCAACGATTTCTAGCGTCAAATTCATCTCATCGCATTATCACAGTACTGCACAGGCGTCGAGTCGAGTAATTCCGAAGTCGAAAAAAAAATCATCAAAGTTTGTATTTAGAAGTATTCGGTTGGTACTGTATTATATAACTGGGATGTCGAAATTTTCGAACGAAAACATTTCGGCGGGCCGAACTTTTCTATTCCAGGGGATGAAAAATAGTATCCCGCTAGGCTAAACTTCAAATACAGAATATCAAATGTGTATTTGAAACACAGAACTTCAAATACATTACCTTTCTGCCACGAGGAGGCTTTGGCTTTCGTTCCTTCTTTTCTCGTACTTTCTTCTCCTTGCCTTCTTTTTTCTTCGAAGTTTTCGTAAGCTTCTTGCGTTTAGCATTTGGTGGTTTTTCGCCACCTTCTGGCGGTGGTCCACCGTCTGAACTATCGCCATCGGATATGTACCTAGAAAAAAACAAAACAAAGAAATATCTTAATATCACCATCCAACAAACTGTTGAAATTTCAGAAGAACGTTTTGAACAGACAATGTCGTGTTAAGATTAAATAAAGACATTGGAAGTAATGTCTGGTTAATTCGCGGATAAATGTATTTCGAACAGATATATTTACTATCGCCATTGAATATGTAAAAAAACCAAATAAATATACAGTATTAATATCTTCATCTAACAAACTTAAAAAAAAAAAAAAATTATTAAATGGACGAAGTCGTGTTCAGATTATACTGTATCAAGATATTGAAAGCATTGTCTACTTAATTCGCAGATAAATACATTCAGGAGCGATTTTCTTTTTCTTCGTAGGATCAGTATTCACAGATAAAAGGAAACTCTGACTTTTGTAAGTGCTTTCTTCTTTCCAATTTTTTCTTCAACATTTATTTACATCGGTGGAACATGAGAGGAATTTCTCACACATTCCTGCAAATACATCAGGAGCGACTTTCAAGGTCTCGAAAAAATTCCAATGCTTTCAATATCTCGGTAAAATTTGGAAAACTTTGAACATCACCAAAAGTTCGTAGAATAAAAAATAGGTATCCTCAAACACGGAATAGGAAAAAAGTAAGCCCAAGATAAAACTAACCCATCTCGACGTTTCCTGGACCCGGACTTGGATTTTTCAGCAGGAACGTCCGGAATAATGACGGCATTCTTCATCCGTTCCTTGTATTCCTCGCGTTTCCGCTGCTCTTCCTCCAGTCGCTTCCGCCGTGATTCATCCTCGTAGGCTTTCATCTCCAACTGTTTCCGCAGGAAGGCCTCTCGCTCTTCTTCCTGCTTTTTACGCAAAGCACGCTCTTCCTCGTCGAGCTTCTTGGCTCTGGACACGTAGAAGTGGGCTTGAGAGAGCAAGTCCTGAGTGAGGCGAGCTTCATGTCCAGCGACTGCCAAGTCGAACCGCATTCGGTCACCGTGATGAGACAACCAGGTGAAATATTTGTGCGCACAGCCAAGTTCATGCACGGCTTGAAGTACGGAGGTCAGCGATGCCTGTAATCATTCGAAAGTACAGAATTCAATCAGTGTACCATAAATGTTCAACACGAAAAAAGCGTTCCTAAAAAATGCATAATACGCGAACAGTAAAAGAAAAAAAAATCATCTCACGCGTCCGAAAACGACGTGACATGAACAAGTTCATTCGGGCGTTTTTCACAATAAATCTTCAACTGTACTGCGTTAAACAAACCACATAAAAGGGTATTTTCTATAATTCGCAAAAATAATTGCAGTCTTCGCAAAACTTTTCATTCGTTTCATTCATGCCTTTTAACATAGTCTTGAAATGTGTGCCTCCAACTTTGAGATGTAGACGTGATCCGAAAAGCTTTAATTAATCAAGTCAGACCTCTCGTAGTCGTATCCGCAGCGACCAAGGTTTCCAGTTACGAAGGTTAGGGAAACTACGGCAGATAATGCTTGGGACTAGTAAAAATTCGAGTTAGAAGTACTTTTGATTCAAAGACGTTCAAGTCGAAGAGGTCCAACTGTGAAAAACAAGAGTCCTTTATTTGCAGAAGCCATTTTAACCTTGAAATCGGGGGCTGAAAAATTAAGATTAAATTTCAAATAGATGGTGTCTTATATTCGTGTAAATACGTTATGAAAGAAGGCTTGAAAGACGCACGGAGTTCCAGGGTATTCTGGATGTTCACCTTCTAGAAAAAAAATTCGAGTTCAGGAGACTTTTAAATTCGAGACATTTGAGTTACAGATGTCCCCCACGGTAAAAAAAAAAAAAAGGTCCTTGATTCCCTGAAGCCATTTCGGCCACAACTCCGTTACACAAAGTACAGAAGTGACGACAGAAGTGATCGCAAGTGACGAGAATTTTTCGATTTTTTGAAGAACTCTCTAGAGTCTGTGGAGCTGAAAAATTAAGATTAAATTCAAAATCGATGGCGTCTTCTTTATTCGCGTGAATAAGCTATGAAAAAAAGCGCTAAAAACGGCCGGAGCTATATATATATATATTTTTTTTTTTTTGCTTCTGGACATTTACCTTCTCATCTCGGATTGTTGCCTTGGCCAGCCTCTGGATGGTGATGGCCAAATTGAATAAAATTGCCGTGTCATGCGGCGCAACTCGTCTCGCCCTCAGCAAACACGCTCTCGCCTGATCGTACTTATTCATTTTGAAAAAGGCTCTGGCCAGATACTGTAGCACGTCCACATTATAGTGCTTGTAAAAAGTTCGCATGCAGTTCTGGTACATCTGCGTCGCCGAGACAAGCTGCCTCTGCTCCACGTACACATGCGCGATATTTAGCCACACGTCCGGAAAGTCGACTATAGCTTCTCGCACTTGCGCAAATATGTCTCTAGCTTCATTCACGTAACCCTTGTGGGCCAACACACACCCGATCCCATTGGCGGCCCAAATGTTCGACGGATCGTTCTTGAGCACGTGTCGGAACATGCTCAGAGACCGTTCTTGATGCTTCTTGATCTTGTCTTTGTCTTTTGATGGTTGGAACAAGATTTGGAGCCACATGTTGCCGAGTGCAATCAGCGCGTAGGCGTCATTGGCGGCCACGCCACTGTTGAGAATACGTTCGAACTTGCGCTGCGCTGGATTCCATTCACGCTTCGCCAAATGCAAGTTTCCGATCAACGACCAGGCTTCTGGGTTTACTTGGTTGATTCGCAGAGCTTCTTTGAACCTATTTAAAAAACAATGCTCTTATCAAGGATTTAAAAAATTGCCATAATCCAATCCCCGATGCATTTTTTCAAAAGAATTTTCTCCTCCACCATGAAATAGTCACCTGCGAGGGTTTGTGTAACGCTATGTGCCACCTTAATCCTAACCCAGAATAACTCAATCCGACGGAATTCCACGTTAACCTATTCAAATGATCGCGTAGTAATAAACTTTGAGCGACATCTACGAGCTAAAAGGTAAACAGTACAGACTCAGGACATCGAAGAATGATGAAATAATATTTTTCTTTACCAGCTTCTACAGGAAAAATGCGTTACAGTGAACCCTCCATTATTCCGTCTTACTACTGTACAAATAAATAAAAATGGTACTCTAGAATGACCTGAAGTAATCCAGATCTAGAATAAAAATTGATAACATCAGAATGCAAATGTTGCCTCATGATGCGGGGATGCCGGGATACATGGCCATATCAAATATTGTTACCAAAGGCAATGCTGATTGAATTTTGAATAATCGAGATTCTTCTGGGATCCATTACATTTTCAGAATAGAAAACGTTCGAAAAGCGGCGGAATTGAAACTTCATTTCGCTGATAGGAACCAAATACGAACTAGGAAATACAAAAATGAACAATGAAAGATCAGAAATCCCGGAAAATTACTGCGGAAATGAAATATTAACATTTATAAAGATGTTGAAAGAATTCAGAAAACTACTTGCCATAATTGAAATTATCAAAAAATGTGCCTTAATAAAACAGGTTGAACTATCAGAAACCCGCGCGTTTCCAACGGGAACAAAATGTCTACATGATTTGCATAGAGCTTGAGTTTAATGGCGACACAATAAACACACTACGGCACGATAATAATTCGTTTTTCTGCTTTCTAGAATCACCGTGACTTACCAATATGATGCATCGTGAATCTGTCCACGATCACGAGCCATGACGCCCAACCTCAGATAACAATCATCATAAATTGGATGAGCTCTGAGAATTTCCTTGTACAATTTCTCAGCTTGGTCGTGAACGAAAGTCACCTCGCACACGCGAGCCAAATTGTACTTGATTGTGACTGCGATCGACGTATAATATGCACTGTCCATGTCCCTCTCTTCTTCGCAACGTGCCAACGCCCGTTCGAAATACGACTTGGCCTTTTCGAAGTTCTTCAAGCGATACTCCAACGAACCGACGTTGTTGATAAGCTCCGGGGGGACAGACGAGTCCGTGGATGGGTCTTCAAGGATTTCAATGGCCTTCGTGTAGGCAGTCAACGAACCCTATGCAACAAAAATACAAATTGCTCATCAATAGCGATAGAAAAAATAAATTCTACAAATTCGAGGTCCGTCGCGCGCGGGTGATTTAATAACATTAGGCATCCAAAAAAAAAATATATACATATAAAATGTTGTACTGACTCGACGCAAGACTTTCAAGAGCAGATTTTTTATTTCATTTCATAATTTTTTTTTTTTGCAAGGCATATAAAGCTTGCTGAACTTCCTTCATTCATAACATTTGCGTTGGAATCACCTCTTCCTCATTCTTCGAACTCCAGAAATATTCAAATTTTTGTGGATCTAGTAGCACAGGAATTCCGCTGGTCAGTAGATTTTTGTGGAAGTATAATACAGTATTTTCGATAACAGTATTTTCGCGCCACCCAAACAATCAATTTCAAATGAAAACTAACCTGAAGATCATTCTGTTCTTGAATTTGAGCGAGTTCAATCCATGCCTCCAAATCCTCTGGCGTGACTTCGGTGACCTTCTTAAGGTGCACCTTAGCTTGTTCTCGCTTCTCCACAGACGACGAGGCGGCATAGATAGAACCCAAGATCTTCATGGTTTCGTAGTTTCCGGGTTGCAGTTTCAACACCTTTTCAAAATACAACGCGGCATTTTCCACGTCCCCTCGATACATGTACATCTGCCCGAGCCCGAAATTCGGAAGGGCAAAATTTTGCGAAGCGAATTGAGTCGCTTGGTAATAATATTGAAAAGCCTGATCGTAGTCTCCTTGAACATGGAAGCAACGAGCCAGTTGGTAGAAACTCTCGCCTTTCATCATTTCGTTATCAGTGCACTGAAAGGCATTAAACGCCAGCGTTTTGGCTTTCTCGTACTGCTTTTTGAAGAAGAAGTGATTGGCGAGGTGATTCAGCAACATGGGATTAGTGTTGTCGATCACATAGGCTTTGGAAAGACGTTCCACTCCTAAACGGATCCGTTCGGGTGTTTGGGAATTGAAATCCATGACCGCCAGACCGACCAAAGCACCCACGCAGTTGCTGTCAAGTTCCAGTGCCCGCTGAAAGGCAAGCCGGGCCTTTTCCTGCAAATATTCAAACGAAAGATATGAGCTTCAGGACTGCACTTCCACGTGGAAGTAAAGTAAACTGTGCAAATAATCTCCACGGCGCAAAATTGAAAAATTAATATCAGCATGAAAAAAAATTGAACAATTTTTCTTCTATCATACAGTTTCTTTTTTCCCTTTCACAACTTCGCTCCTATCAATAAATGCGGCAGGTTTCTTTCAAGAATATAACCAAGAAAATAAAATATTTTTGAACAGTCAATGTGAATTGGGAAGTTGGCATTGTTTTTGTTCTTCATTCGCTCAAATCTTGGGACGAGGAAATTCTTAGAATTAAATTATTTCTGATCAATATACCGAGGATTTTTCGAGATATTGCGTAAAATAGGAAACCGAATTGTTTAAAAACTATTAAAACGCAATTCAATAATGTGTACAACACCTGCCATGCCCATGTGCACCTACGAAGAAACTGAAGCGGAATCTTCGGATTTAATTAAATTAAAAAATACATACAGTTGAACCTCAATAACTAGAACCTCCCCAAGTCAAATAATGTCTCCCGATTTCGAATTTATTTCAAGTTCCTGTCTGAATTTCCCATAGAAACCATGCATTTTAAACCTCCATTACTCGATTTTTCTGGAGGCCTTTCGGCTATTATTTCATTCACACAGGAAAGAGAAAAACACAGAAAACGTAGCTTGACGTGTTTTGAAGAGAAGTGAAAACCCAATTGGGCAAATGAAGCCTTGCCTCCAAGTTCAGCATCCTGTGAACTCATTCAAGAAGCATTAAACGCCCGAATATCACCAATTACGATTTCCTATAATTCTTCTTTCTTTCCCTCGGCAAAAATACTTGCTTCACAAAACCTGAACCTCTTTCACTCGATTTTTTTGCTAGTCCCTTGACCTTGCCTCAAGAGGTTCGACGTTAATTGAGACAACCACCGTTGAATTATTCCTCTTTGCAACAGTCTGAGAGGGGAAAATTTATAAAAATTGATGAGAATATTGTGTCTCACATCCTGGCACAGTGATTTATTTCTACTGATCGTGAAATATGAATCTGAGACTTCAAGACAGATGAATATTACACAAGTTTATAATCAGAATATTAAAAAAAAATACCAACCTGGTTTCCAAGCTTCAGATAACAATAAGCAAAACCGAGTCGGACTTCGGCGGGACACTTCGGCCGGGTTCTCAGAGCTTTTTTGTAAAAGGCCAAGGCTCCCTTGTAGTCTTTCTTGTTGTAAGAAATGCACGCCTTCCCGAGCAAAGCCGGGATCAAATTCGGATTCGAGCTAAGCACGAAATTAAACTGCGCATCCGCTTGATCCAACTTGTCTCCCTCAAGCATACACAAATATGCTCTGCCAAGCAAATGATTTTGGTCACACAGAAATATCTTGTCGGCTGTCGTGTACAAGTAAGTGGCTTTGTCAAAGAGCTCCTTCTTCTTTTCCTTGTCCTTCTCCTTGCTGGCCTTCTGGATGTAATGAGCGGCCATTAAGTCGAGAACTTCGGTTTGGTCTCGTTCATAGTTGTCATAATCTGTAGCCGCTTCGCTTCTTGACGCCTCAAGAACTTTGACGAACTCATCGATCCGACCTTGAGTGTAGTATCCAACGGCGATTTTCGACCACAAGTTCAAGTGGCTCCGTTCTTCTTTCAAGATTGTTATTACTTCCGTAGCACCAGGCAAATTATTCAGATCCAACTCGATCACCTAAAACCATCAAAATTTTCATTGAAGAAAAGGTTCAATACTGCACTTTCAATCAAGCCCCTCTTTCAAAGTCGTTTCCCTTCGGGAAATACAGTACGTAGTTTCCTATGACTAAATAAAATGTTCCAAAATGTTCCGCCTGATTTATTTAAAATGAAATTGAATTGAATAAAAATTATTCAACACAAGCGAAACAAATTTAATAAGACCACAGGACCTCTTTAAAACTTTACGTCACGAATTAAAATCTGAATTTGAGACGGAGAAAAGAATACGAAAAACAAACACAGTACAATTGGAACATCTATTATTAGAGTAAAAGACTGAATTGTTTTCACCCAAAAAACCACGAGGGATAAAAAAACTTCAAATAAAATCATTTGATTGACATTTTCCTCCTGATCGGACTTCAATTACAAAATCAGTAAAATCACGATTGATGTAAAATGCAAAATCAACTAAACTGAATTTATGAAAAAAATGAAGAGTGCCTCATGGCACAACGTATATTCTAAAATCATTCTTACTCGGAAAGGTCAATCCAATACATGAGTAATCGAAGCACATATGGCATAACAAAGGTGCTGATGCATGGAAATTTCAAATGATGCGAACTAACCTCATCGGTGTCGAGTGGTATTTCGATGGTGTTGCTTCCCATGTTTTCAAAAACAAGTTCCCGCGCGAATTAAGTCAACAAAATCATTTGGAACCTGCAAGAAAAACATTTCCAATATAACAGAAAAACAGATTGATGCTTTAAAAACTTTCAAACGCTACATCAATCGATCACATACATGCTTTTTTTCAGGCTCAAAGCACGCTCCGGTAATTGGAAAAACAATCTCCTCATGCGTTCATGAAAGTTTGGCTCGAAATTCTTGAGTAACAAGTTAACGATTACGCCTTCCGCTGAAGAACGCGCTCCGATAATTGAAAAAATAATCGTCTTACGCGAGATGCACTTTGAAAAGTTTGCTTGAAAAGTCTGAAGTACTCTTCAGTGGATTGAAAACAAATTCCAGTTTAATTCTCAGAAAAACCCTTCTCCATAAGCAAGATACGGTCTTGTGAAGAAACCGCCGGTCTTCAAAAAAAAATTTTGATGAAAAATCGCACCTATTTTCATCAGAATTAGATATGTACTCTGAAGCTTTCCATCAACGAGTACTTAGTTGACGTTTGCTGCATTTTCAATGAGCTCTTTCGCGGTACAATCTTTCGGGTAGATGCAAAACGAAAGAGCCTGAACAACACCCTAAAAATAAATTGGCTTTGCATTACGATCCTCAATTGCGCGGTGCACGATCTTCTTCCGGTTCATCCCAATCCACTTGGCCGTCATTGTCTTGACCGTCTCCGTTTCCATCCAACCTAACGAAGTCGATAACATGAAATCAGATTTATCTTTCTCACCACACGAAAAGCTGAATTCATGGTTGCATAATCGTCATAAGTAAACAAAAAAATGTTTCCACGCCAATGCGTAATCAGTTCAGAAATATTTACTCGCATCGTTCGCAGAAAAAGCTTGTCAACCTTTCCCGAGATAGGGTTGAGCACTCTTTCAAAGCGATAAGGTTATACAATACAAATCGCATAAAGTGCAAGTATTGCATCTACAAAATGCGAAGGTTTAATAATACAGTAAATACAGTACATCTCAAAAGATTTTCAGGGTAAATTTCTTATGGAGGATAGAATAATTAAAAACGTGTGAAATTCTTCAGAACAGATAATTTCTATCCAAGGGGTGTCTCAATTCGGCCCGTAGTGCAAAAAAAATGTGTCCAAGAGATACTGTATTAAGAAATGCATCTTTTCACTGAACCAATTGTCACACTCGTCCCTCGAAGTCTCCACTGATCCAAAAAATGTCTTGGCAATCTTGATACTGTACAAGAATTGACGAATTCTACACAAACCTCAATGCTGACAGTTTATTTCCCTTCGAAGTTTTGAACTTTAAATTGCATGTTCTGATTTGTTTGATCCTTCAAGACCATCTGCAAACCGCATATGAATTAGGGACATCCTTAAAGGTTTGCGTCATTTTTGGATGGACACGGAGACCTCGCAGGAAACTTAAAAAAAAGATCTTAACTCTGATATCAAGCATAAACGGATAAGCGTAATTCATGGTGCACAGGTATTCTTCATCTTCTTATGGTTTGGCGTCCATCTTGCGCGGTCGCAGAAATCGGGAGAGTTGGAGAACTCTCCCACAAAATGACTCGGACAATTTTTTCAAATGTTTTGCTCATTGAACCGCGTAGGATCAGTGCCCGAACTGTTCAGTATACTAGCTAGAAGAAAACCTACATGCGCGCAGAAAGCAGACATAGCTCGTAATATTCTGCTCTCAGAAGACAAATAATCACCCAAGTCATGAAAAAAAAAAAAAGGTAAAATCGTACTTACCCCGCGCCCACAGGTGCCATCCTCACACCTTCCAAGAATCCTTGAAAAATATCGTCCAAGCTGCGCCTAAACGCCCGCATGACATCAGCGCCAGCATTGCGTCCTCTGGCTTCCGGAAATTCATCCGCTGCTGCGCCGAATACAGCTCCCAAAGGAACCCCTTCCGGAAAGGCCACAGGGAAATTGGGGTTCAGGGAGTTCAGAAGTAACCGATTCACTGATGCGACGTTCATCAATTCATTTCTCCAACTCGGCAGGGCCGGATCAGTTTCAAGCTCGGGTGGTGCACGGTAAGACACCACGTTATCCAGCGGAGGAAACGGGTCAGTGATCACTGTTTCCAATGGACTCGCTCTTCTCAAAGCCTGCATCAGAAGGGAACGAATTATCGAAACCACGTCCAAACCTCGCTGAATCAGTAACAATTTACAATACTGTACAGTACATCAGTCTAAGGAAAAAGGGATAACCCGAAATTGATGTCACCGAATTTTAAAATACAGTACTGTCAAAGTTAGGACATGGGGCAACAAGAAACGTTCTTTTTACTTTTCCCAGTGTATGTTTTCCCTAATAATTCATATCTTTCCGAAAGGAAAATTGAAGAAACTTCCAAAAACTCCAGTATACGTAAAACGTTGCAAAAACACAGTACAGCACTGTATTCATCTATGAATTTTCAGCACATCATGTAATGCTGCACTTGAGCAAAAACGAGAAGTTTTTCATTCATCGACAATTTCGACATTGTATGCAATGAAAGTGGTCTTGAAATTAGCAGGAATAAAAAAACATTTCACAGGTTGGAAATTTAGTTTGAATGATATATTTCTTCAAAAAATAAAAAAGGCCACATGGTTTTGTAACAACGCTTTTACATTAACGAGGCTGGAGTATTTTAAATTTATTGAAATGAGAATTTTACCTTAGCTAGGAAAGAAAAAAGTTGCACGAAAATTCCTATCACTTCTGCTGTTTCGATACTCGCTGAAACGGTTTGCCGATAACTTTGTTTTTCACAGAAGACTTTCGTTACACAAGAAACCATTTTCGTTGAATACGCATATTCGACTTACGGAGGCGATGTTCCGAACTGAAGACAACAAGTCCAACACAGTGACGAGACGCATAATATTCAACGGTATTTGCTGTAGCTTCATCCACATGCCATATGACTGAGCAAGTTCTTCGTCTTGCAACGTTTTGTCACCACTGAATCGTTCGACGCACACTTCAGACACTACCCGTTCAACCCATGCCATCACTTCACGAGATTTCCATACGTGAAACGACGCATTGATGTAAATCTCCAAAAGTAGCGCCAAAGGCTTCGGCTCACTAAACGGGTGAATAGGAAGAAAAAGGCTTTCGTTAGTTCATGCGAACTCGTAACGAACGACAAGTTCTTTGCGAATGGGAAACTGCAATGCCACGGCAATATAACGGAAACTTCTACTGCGTATATCGCATACGAGAAGGGAAGGATTCTGCGCAACTCCGTGATACACACGTTAGAACTGAAGAGAAAAACTTTGTGCATGGTAGATAAACAAAAGTTCGCGCACAAGCAATACAAGGTTCGCATAATATTTTCTTCTACAGTACACTGTATCTTGGATGTTTTTTTTTTTATGGTTTATCGAAGTTCCTCCGTCGCCTCGTCGCTGCTTCTTCAAAAACCATATTATGTCTTTACCGCACGACCTCAAAAATTTGATGGCTTATGGGTTTTGTCGATACTGCACAATATACTGAAAATAGGTTCTGCGATCCCCCACATTTTCGAGTCAAGATATTCAAAATTACTCCAAATTTAATATTAAAAATTTAAAACAAGACCCTGATTCGTTTGCCTTTTCCATCTTTTTGAACAGCCCTCATTGAAACAGCGTCTTCTTTATTGATTAACACTTCCGGGTAACTTTGACATTCAGCATCACTGCGATCAATGCCAAAATAAAAAGAGCATTTCTTGTATTAGAACATGGCTAAAAGATCTGAGGCATTTTCATAAATACTGTCGCAATTAATCGAATATTTTTTGCAAAATCATAGAAGCCAACAATGGCCTTTATCTCCACAGGAAGGTCATGTACCGTACTTATATACTGTAACTTCTTCCTGTCACTCCAACCAGAGTGAGAAAACGTCGAAAAAGTTCAGGAAATCACCGAATATGACTGAAAAGCTCTTACATCACTCATCCTAAACCGGAATCACATGACCTGACAAAATTCATGCAAAAATTTCTCATTCTCAGAAAAAAATAATGTTTTCCTATATTATTTCGCATGAACTCACGGAACGATGTTGGCCGTGAAATATTCGAAGCCCGGTTGATTCTCAGAGACCACGTGACACTTTTCCAACATGGGTAAGAGAAAACCGGGAAATCTTTTCAAAGCATCACGCAGTTTGGCGTCGGCATCTTCAATACTGAAGCCCAAACATTCACCAGCAGAAGCCATATGAAACATTGACAAGGCTAGCGAAAAATTCCAGTTTGGGAGCATATCAGTTCTCTTGGACTCCTTGAAAAACTCGAAAGCTTTCAAGATCCACTCATGGGCATCACACTGGAAGATAAATTCAGAGGGTTTGAGTCGGGAAGTTTCCAGGAAGATTCAGCTAATTTCTCACTAATAAACCTAAGATGTTCAGCAATTGCATAACTATTTCAATATCCCTATGCACTGACTTTTGACTTGATTGTTCTATCCTTTCGCTTTCTACGTTGCTCTAATATTCATAAATCTGAGCTTGTCAAAAAAATGCAGAAGTAAATTCCATCATCCCGAAGCACACAAAATAAATGTTCTACTAGTAACACAGTAAATAATCTCGAACAGAGATGGAACTCAAAGAATCCCATCCAAACCAGAATGTGCCGGGACAATTCGGCAGCACAAAAAAAGAACAAGAACAAAATCAAACGAAAAAAAAAAAATATACCGTAAATACAGCGTGATAATGAGACGGATAACAAAAATTACCACCAGAAACCCATCAACTGTCCGCCAAAATTTAATTGATTTAATTCGGTCAATGAGAATATTAATGATAAAAGTAAAACGTACTCACATACAGAGCGTAGGTGTCCATCAGAAGAAGAATAGCCATAGGGTCATTTTCAGGCTCAAGGTTGAAGACAACTTTTGAAATCTCAAACGCGGTTTGGTAGCAGCCCGATTCTTCACAATTTCTCATGTGAAGGGTTAAGGCAATATAAAAAGACCGATTTTCACGATATTTAAAAGGTAGCCTTCGCTCTCCAGCCGTTAGGGAAAATAGGGGATGGAAGGCCAATTGCGATGCGAAGACAGCACGCTCGACAAAATCTGCGGCCTCCTCCTTGTTTTCCTGATCTCGGAATATTTTGCTCATTTGTATCAAGCAATCCACGTGAAACGGATCCACTCCCAATAAATCCTTTAATCATATTACGGTTTTCTCAAAAAAGATCCGGGAATACATACAAAGGTACCACCGACGTCTCACCGAAAAAGCTTCAATTCGATTTCTTTTTTGAGAAGACTCGAAGATGTTCTGAGTTGTTTGGTAGTCTGGAGAGTGGACAAATTTGAAGAACTGAAGACGTCCTCGAGATTCAAGGCGTTCCATTGAAATGCCTATTCAAAAGTGTTCAAGAATTTTAGATTCAAGAAAAAAAACAAGGATTTTCCGAATATCCCCAAAAAATTCTTGAAAATTAATACAGAATTCAGCCTATGTCTAGGATTTCAGTGCATATACGGTACTTCATAAATTATCAACAACGCAGAGAGACACTGTAAAACAAACACTAACACCCCTCACTTCAACGGGATCGAAATCAAGGGACTCACCAATTTTCTCCCACGGGGGCCAATCCATTTTCGGACTGATGACATCGGCATTGAGACGCGGAGTTTTTTGCTTCCCTCTCCTGATTGAAAATTAAATATTCATTGAAAATCCATCACAGCAAAGTATACATTTCCGCATATCACACGAACCTCAAATCGACGCGATTTGATTTGACGCCCCATTTCCGAGTTTTCTCATTCTCGGCGTTGACAAAACGGAAGTTGACTTTCAGAACTGAATCTTCGCGGGAAACGACAGCAGCCGAAGCACTTTCAACGAAGGATTCATTCCTCTTTTTGAGGAACTCGTCGACTTCTCTTAATGATTCCTCGATTTCATCTTCCGTCTTCACAACTAAGTGTCCTTTGTCTTTCCTACGATTGTTTTTCTTCTTCTTGGTTTTAAGGGGCTGCGAAGATTGGAATTGCTGATTCGAGCGGGGCTCGTCCACTTCTTGGTCACTGGGTCCAGAGCTTCCATCATCTCGAGTCAACTGAAAAATGATATCCCCACTCAACGAACAACTGCAATAATTCAGCAGATAACATGCTTACGGCTGCAAATGCATTGAGGCGTTTTGAAGTACTTTCTTCAACATCAGATTCCTCATCCGATTCGTAGGTCGCAGTTTCTGAAGCCTTCTCCAGCCGACGCAAATAGCGCGAAGACATATCACAATATCGTACACGTATCACAAATCACGCGAATACACGCTTCAATTTCTGAGAGAAAACTTCGTATTTATTCACTGAGATTTCAACGAACTTCGAAGATTAAATTCCACGCCCGTCCGAAAACAGGCTCCATACGATCAGCGATTCGATGGGGCGAGAATTTATGCTGGGTAAATTCTGCAGTGAATTTTTCAACCACTAATGCTGATCGCTCACCAGCAGTTCAAATCCGCGACCAGCCAGGAAAATGGTTGTTATAGTCATATACAGGCATTTCATACGAATTAATCCTTTTTCCTCCAGTGAACGCTTACTTCTTCTAATTTGTTCAGTAATGCTGTGATGAACAGCTTTGATTTGAGGGGCCCATTACCCGTAAAGCTTTGAATTGAAATAAAAATGAAGAAACCAGACGTGTTCAGTTCTCGTGTTATCATCCAGTAATGTCTGTTTTAAAGAAATTGACAGAGTGTTACCCTTGCAGGTACTGCGCACCCTTATTGGCATGAAATCTTGTGATCAATTCTAATTCTCAGGAATACGAAAATTCGGGAATCTGTATGGTGGAACTCCAAACGATAAAATATGCTTTAGGGGTAAGGGACATATCCCTTAAATTTTCTGTAATTTAGTGCTGTGGTCTATCTACTCCATCATACAGTACTGTGATTTTGGAATCCAAGTGGAGCTGTACAGTAGTGTACTACCACACGTACCATATCATACAATATGTAAAGGAAGTACAGTAGCAATGTCTGCGTACATTAAACAGTGGTTGTCTAACTTAGGAAGGGCGCGTAATTCTCTTTAGTCGACCGTTGAACTGCGCTGGGGACGGTGGAAGTGGTGTTGATAACCTCATTTCTGCACTTCCAGAGAGGTTCTGTTGTAGTATTTTTTGTGAAATGGATACGAAAAGTTCGTGTGTTTTTCATCTACATCTGCAACGGATGCGTAGTGAATGTCAGTGTATGCTTCGAATATCCGCTTTTGATTTTCTTTTCTGTATGCTTTAAAAACTAATTAAAAGCTGAATTTTATGTTTTTCTTGAGTGCGTTCCGGTTTGGTGAGTTGAAATTAGTGCTCGCCGAAAAGGCGTCTGCACATTTTCGAAAAGAACGATGCTTTCTTTGAAAAAGTCGAGAAGTGCGAGCAGGAACCCACGCTCATCACTATCATCTAATCAAAGGAGAAAATCGCTGCTGTCTTCCTCGTCCTTGGCTGTCAATAAAATTTCCGAGGAACTTCTGTACGACAGTTTTTCATACTTATTTCAACAATGCGACAATCCTCGAGCTCGAAACGATTGTCGAGTGAACAATTTTTTGAGACGCAGTGAGTTGAATCGGTGTTCTTCTTTGTGAATGCAAATCTTTTACCTTTGAATTTTTTCCAGATCGGGAGTGCGCATCTTCTGTATTGAAGATCCGTCTCTCACCGGATGACTTCGACGTCAAAAAAATCATCGGAAATGGGAGATATGGAGAAGTTCAGTTGGTATCACATCGTCGGACTGACCAGCTATTCGCCATGAAAGTAGTTTCGAAGTCTTTCCTGCGTCCAGATTCTACGGTAAGATTTCCTTCAATTTCTGTTAGGTCACCTATAGTGGGTAAGTAAAATGTTAACTTCGTGTGTTGCAGGCCTTATATGTTGATCAAGAAAGGGAAATTATGGCTGCGACTCAGTCGGACTGGCACATTAAATTGCATTTCGCATTTCACGACTCGCTATCGGTGTATTTGGTCATGGATTATCATCCTGGTGGGGATCTTCTTCAACTGTTGGTGAATAACGCGGAAATCTTCAAAGAAATCGAATCCGTTCGCTTTTATGCCGCTGAGATTATCATGGCTATAAATGATTTGCATAAACTGGGCTATATTCATAGGTGTGTATTTCCTTTTTTCGATGTACTATTGTAAATGCAATACATCTGACGATGTCAATTTTTCAGGGATTTGAAGCCAGAAAATATCCTAATCGATCGTTCAGGACACTTGAAGCTTGGAGATTTTGGCTCCGCAGCCCGCATAGATTCTGCAACTGGAGCTGCGTGTTCATCAGATCCACAGGATTGTGGGGATTGTCCATTTGGAACCCCGGAATATACTGCTCCTGAGTTGTTGGATTCTTCCAGCAAGCTGACAGCTTCCAAAAGTTCCGTAAGTTCAATGCTGTTATGAATTTTTTAACGCGTTTACTTTTTTTTTTTTAATTTTGCGTGTCCCATTTGTCGTGATATGAATTTAAAGGTTCTTCAAACTCATAAAGATTATGCGTTATTTCTGTAGCATTTGTGAACCGCGTGAAGAACAATCGGGTGATGGTTATACAGTAATGTACAATAATTTTATTCAAGTGACAGGCGAAGAATCAATTATGTATAGTATTTTATTGATGTATTTTACCCATTGTGAAGGATTGTAGTATGTATTGTAAACTTTCCGTTGCACCATCAAATTTCCCAATCCATTTCCTGATAACGATGTGCAAGAAGATGGTCCAAATTCCTTTGAAGATTTCAAAAGAGGTAACGAGGAAATCAACTTCCATGCGTAAGTAAGTTAATTCAATTTCCTCCAAATTGCAGCATAATCCAGACAATTCCAAAATGTTGAAACATCATACTTGCTGACGAAAATTGAGACCTAGGAAATATTTGCATACAGTATACTAGACTAGATTTTGCGACCCAAATCTTCGTTGATATGAGGTGAATTGAACGGAGAGTCAGGATTATAAATTTGAAGAAAACTTCGTGAAATATAACCATTCCGGAGAAAACCCCAAACCGAACTGACGTTTTAAAATAATTTGCTTACTCGCGTTTAAATTTTGATTTCGTTAGTATTCTTCATTGGGTAAGCTTATAAAATTGGTTAGCATTTGCCTGATCCATCCATTTTCACACCTATAAGCAGCAATATAATTTCAAATAACTTGAGTATTTTCCGAATTCAAGAACCAAAAATCCTTGTTATCTTTCAGACGACTGCTGTAGACTTCTGGGCGGTCGGAATCATAATCTACGAACTGGTTTCAGCATCTACGCCATTCGAAGATAACCGTCCATCCTGCGTATTTTCAAAAATACTCTCTCACAAAGGAGACATTGATTATGACGAAAATCTTTTCACGAGTGACTCTATGAAGGATCTGATTCGCAAGTTGCTGGAGCCTGTTCCGTCGAAGCGACTAAATTTTTCCGGCTGTGTGCGCCATCCGTTCTTCGTCGATATAGATTTCCGCAAACTTTCTGAAACAGCGACTCCCTACGTTCCAACTTTGACCAGTGACTTGGACACGTCTCATTTTGACGAATGTTCCAACCGACCTAACTCGACCAGTATGCATTTTTCATCATTTTCCGATGGAACCGATACTGCGCGAGGTGTGATGCCGATGGATTTGAATGAGCTGAATTTTGTTGGATTCAGCTACAGCCGATCCGAGGAAGATGGGTTAGATTTTACCGATTCTGATTTAATTTGGAGCGAAAACTTCACCCTACAATTTTTCAGTGATGAAGCGATCATACATGCTCCAAAAGTGCATCAGTCGTGCCAGACGCTCGAATGGAATGCTTCCTCGTGTGGAGAATCTGATTGGTGAGTAGAATAGTTTTGACGGAATTTTTCTAATTCTTCGTGTCACAAATATAAGATTTCTTTGCGAAGTTGTATATTCAAACGTAAAGAAATTCGTTCAGAAACTTCATATGATCCTCTCAAGCAGAATCATATACGTTCATCCTCCACGTAAAAATATAATTTCCGACCAAGTTTTTGTAGCGATTACGAAAAACAATGAGGAATTTAGGCGCCCATTTCTGTTCCTGCGAGAGTGATAGTATGAGTGTAAGAAATTAAAAAAAGAATTGAATGATTTATTTAAATTCGTTGTAAAAATTCTACAGTATTTACATTTCTACGTATCTATTCTCCTGATTCCGCACTGAAACCGGGAAACCCTTATTTTAATTCATATTTTCTCTGATGAAAACAACTAATAAATACGTGAATTGTATTGTGTTTGTGTTTTTTAGGGAAAGGAAATTCAAAACGCTGGAGGAAAAATATCTAACGTTGCTGCGCAAAAGTGAACGTTCACAATCAAGCGACAGCTTTTTGAAAGAACAAATCGCTGCGAAGGAAAAGCAACTTTCGGTTTGTTTGATTTTCGGGTTCAATTTTATGAATTGTTTCACAGTTTTTCATTACGTATTTTTTTTTGGGGGTGCTCAGGATGCGAAGAAGCAATTGGTCGTGGAGAGAGAAACTCGTGTTTCGTCAGAGGGCAAAATGATGCAGCTTATGGATGACATAAAAAAGAAATGGCAGCGACAGGAAAAAGCGAAAATCGAGGCTTTGGAAAGCCAGTTAAACGAGCGAGACGCTGAAATCGAGGTAAATTTCTGTTACGCAAGAAAATAATTTCAGATATATCATGAGGGTTTCCGTCTTCAGAAGCTGAAGGGAAATTTGCACCGTGTGCGGCAAATAATGTTGGAGTCAACCGCTCTCGGAGAAGAATCCATGGCTTGCATCAGTATCCTGGAAGACCCTATCCCGACTGACGGCAAATTGGATACAGTATGTCCTTTTTAGCACTTTTAATTTGGGTACTAATGCATTGTCATAATGGAAATTGTGGAATTCAAAAATTCGTATTCAGATTTTTACGAAAAAACGATTGCCTAAAGTTGATGCTAAAATTGTCTGTCTTGATCAAACCATTTCAGGTGAATTAATCTTTTTTTCAATCATGCGTCCATTGAAACGAAGTTAAGAGAATGTAATGTTTCGATGCTGTGTTGTTGAGATATTTAATGGAATTCTAATTTTAAACAAATTGGATGATCATGAAAATTGCGTGCGAATGTATTTTATGATAATGTACGAATTTTGAAATGCTGAAATATAAATAGCGTAGAACGTTTTCTCTGGATAGCCGCGAAAATTTCATGTGAGTTCTGCTCCTTTGAATAATCGATATTTGAGGCGTTACATTCATTGCCCTTTTAAAATTCTTCAGCGCATGTGAAAATCTGAAGTTGAAGAATTGTGGGAACATCGGCGTACGGGACTATTATTTCACTATGTTCATATGCATTTTTTTCCAGATTTTTGAAGAACCAACAATTGCGTCAAGCTCGGATGATCGAACGTATGTCTCTGCAAATGGTTCGCAGAGTTCCAGCGACACCTCGGCATCAACTCACAACAATACCGTGAAATTTATATCCGAACTGCAAGAGTCAGCAATAATGGACACTAGTGAGACTTCCATGATTACGGATAAAAACTTGCCAGCGTCCGTCGACCGTGTTTTTGACAAAAGATTGACTGCTCTTAAAAGCGACCTCTCGGACACGGAAAAGAAAGTAAGAAATTATTCGATGGAGCCCCGTTTTTCGGGGATTGAATATTTTATTTTCAGTGTGATCGCATGCAGGGAATGGTTTCTTCGTTCAAAAACGAAGTGGACGAAGAGTCCGAAAAGCTGAAATCTCAAATCAAGGAGCTTGATCAGGAGTTGAAAAGTCAGCGGGAAGGGTTGGAAAAGGAACTCGAGTCGAAGGATCGGCAGATTTTTGAACTCCGCAGAAGCGAAAGCAGAGCAAAGCTGTTGCAAGAAACGCAACAAGGAATAATTGAGTGCGTAATTAATTTCCATCACCTTCACTTCAATTTAGTTTGGTACTATATGCGTTGAATATTGTTTTCCCGGCATGTTTTTGGTCTTGTAGGAAGCTGAAATCTTCAACTGGTGTTGCCACGGATTCTGCCACACGCTTTTATGAAAATCAGGTCGAAAAAATGCGAGTGAGGGTGGAGGAATTGCTGGAAGAAGCCATTCGAGCCAAAGAAAACTTGAGGCTTGAAGAAAGCAAATTTGAGGCCGTAAGTCTCTTCAGTGTTTTTGGTTTCTGCTTCAATTCTTTCGAATAAAAACATTATTTCTTATTAAATTTTTTTCTACAGAAAGAGAAGGAAGCTTCGAGACTGAGTCTTGACCTGAGAGTCGCTCGTCGTGAGACTAAAAATGCGGAGGAGGAGGCGAAATCGCTTAGAGATCAGTTGCGAGCTCTTCGAACCTCGCATCGGGAGGAACTTTCGGAAATGAAAGCCTTGAAAACTCAAATAACATCATGGACTGTCAAGTGCGAATCTTTGCAGAAGTCATTGGATGATGCAAATGCTGCAAATAAGGCGCTGGCGGCCGAGAAAGAGGTTAATGCGATATATATATATAGCAAATTTGAAGCCGTAATATATATATATATATATATACCGGTATATATGTTATATTAATTTTTTAGAATTTCCTAAGATAACACGTATGTGTATCTCACTCATTCATTTTCCTCGTGGATTCCTACATTGATTTGGCGCAGATTTTCATCAGATGTATCGCCGTAATTTTCTTCATTCCCCATTATTTCTAAGTAAACCAGTATTTTTGAAGCCCCTGGCTGAATCTTGTAATGTGTGAAGAATAAAAAGAAAAGTAGTCAGAACACGCGTATCTGAACTTTCCTGAAAAGCTCTTGAACTCCTGTGCTGCATTTCCGAAGAAATCGCTGGAGTTTTGTCGTTTTTAAGTCGTTTCATCGTGCTTGATTGAAAAATTACTGAGAATGCCTAAATTACCATAAAGCAGTTGTGGTAATTGAGGATTCCTAATTAATGCTGGAGAAAGTCCGAAATTGAAATCAAGGTTCCAAGAAATTTTTTTTAACGATTGAATCGTTAAAAAAAATCATGAGATGTCTGCAGCGTCAGTCGAATGTCAAACGCGTCTTTTGCGTCTCAAATTTTGCCTTCCAGTTTGAGGGAAAAAATTGGATAATGCTCGAAAATTATTGGCGAAAAATTAGAGAAAATTTTCTTCAGCCTCTGAGGATAGGTGAAGTATGATTTGCAAAACTATAAAGACGCTCATATTTTGATCAACATCTGGGTCCTTATCTGAGTGTTAGACGAACAAAGTAAAAATTGGAGGTGATTTTCTCCATGTCTTCGTTGTAGGCTGAATTGATTGCTGTGAAATCTTCCATATCGAAACTCGAAATGGAGAAGAAGTCGCTCTTGGAGGTTCATCAAGCGAATTTCGAAAAGGATACATTTTTGCAAGAACGCGACAGCCGCATTAGCGCTCTTGAAAAAATGTTGCAAGAAGGTCAACACGTTCAAAATGACTGGACAGAATCTGTGAATACTCTTAAGCAAGAACTTTCTGCCAAGGAGAGCAAGATTATATCTTTGACAAAGGTATGATTGACAACTGTTTTTACTCGCTCGTGAATGCTGTTAACATATATTTTGTTTGATTTCTAGAAATGCACGCGATTGATGGAAGCTTGCAAACTTTCTGACCGCAATTTGACTGAAATCGTTGAAGAATGCGAGAGACGTCAAAAGCAGATAGAATCTCTGGAAGCTAAGTGGTAAGATTGCTCGTCTTCAAAATACGCGATTAAATTCTATCGTATTTTAAATGCATTTTCTAAATTTTTTTGAAGCGAGACGGCTCAGAAAATGGAAGCTACGCTTAAAGCTGAAATTTTGAAGACAAAAGCTGCAATAAACGAAACTGAGAGTAATAAAATATTCCACGAGAAGACCGTGAATGGGAAAGTTAAAGAACTGGACTCGAAATTGTCATCCATCGAAGGCGAAAACACGTTTTTGAAGGAGCTTTTGCGACAAGCTGAAGTTCGAGCGAACCAAGCAGAGAGACAGGTTATTCCCCCCGTAACTAATATTTTTCAGCATTCTGTATTCATGTCTCAATTTTTATTTTTCAGCTGGAATCTTCGACGAACGAATGCAGACGTAGTTCAGATTTACTTGCCGACGCTGAGAGACGGATACAGGAGCTGAAGGGTGATCTGAAAGAATCCGAACACGCCTTGTTGCTGCTGAGTGACGCGAAGACGAAATTGAGTGACGAGAAGGACGCTTTCACTGCGCGGATTTCGGATCTTACTTCTGAATCCGAAACACTCCGAATTGAATTATCGGAAACACAGACGAAGTACGTTAATGTTGTTACACCTGCGAAGGGGGATATCCTTGAACATCTTCCGAACAAAAACTGCCGAGTGGAAGTTGAATTACGCAGTCATTTTATGTGCAAATTCATGAAGGGATTTTTCTGGTGTCCTGCTATTATCAACAAATTTAATCTTAGTCAGTTTTCTGCTAATTTTATTGCGAGTAAAACAAAACATGCTATTACGAACAGATGATGGTACGATCATAAATATGTTGAAAGGAACCTGTTAAGATCATCAGGAAGAATGTGAGAACCCCTTTTCCGAGCGTTTCTTCGTACATTTTTCGACGTTTTTCCTTGGTGACTTCGCTCTAATCGCCCCAGGGATCATTGGTTGGCTTTTTGATAATACCCATGACGGCCACGCGTTTAATCGTTCCTATTTATTTTTTTCTACACGCCATGAGTTTTATAATCAATTTCCACATGTAATTTCCAAAGCCACCTTGCAGCTGTTGAAGGTAAAACTTTGTTTCAGAGCATTTTCTGAGTTTATTTCTGATTATGGGACTTCATGACAAGGCCACTCAGGAAATCGAAGATGAGTCAGAGCACCCTCCTGACTCATCTTCGTCCTTAGTCTCGTCTACGATTTTGAAGAAAAATAAATAACTGGTCTGGTGCATTCATTTTTTACAACATTTGAAAAATCTGAAACACGCGGAAGTGAGCATCTATTTTTGACCCATGATAATGTTACGCCGAAAATAACGGCGTGATTCAGCATCCCCTCGCGAGTATTCACTTGACAGGTCTTCTAGGATTGAGAAAAGCATCCCGGTTTTTTTTGTTTTTTTTTCTAATTGGCTCTAAAACTATTTTTGTCGTTGAATCTCGTAGCGTGGAGCAGATGACGAAGAAACTGGAAGAGCGAGAAAAGTCCTTCCGTGACCACTCGAACCAGCTCAACTCGACCATCGCGCAGCAAAACAAGCTCATCGAATACCTCCAAGCCCGTCAAGAAGAAACCGACGGGAAGAAAGACAAAAAGCATGGGTTGGGCTCTCGAATGCTTGGCCATAAAACGAAAAGCCAAGAATCCGTCTCTGCTCCCGTGACGGTGATCCCGCGTCAGTATCGCGAACTCACGCAAATGGTGGAGGAGGAGAAGAGCCGTCGTATGGCTGCAGAGCAGGAACTGGATTCTGCTCGACGAGACCTGGCTGTGGCGAAGGGACGCCAAGTGCCGCCTGCTGTGCATGGGACGCCCGTGGCTTCGACGCCTGTGGCTAGAAGAGCCCTGGCGCAGATTTGCCTCCCTGCCGAGAGCACGCAGCCGACACCGCAGCGCGTCAGGCACAATATTCCGCACAAGTTCGCTGTCATCACTGGGTCACTCGGCAAGAAAATGATGTGTTCCAGGTGAGCTCGCAAAGTTCACGAAATTTCTACGGCTTCACAGAAAGAATCATGCAGCTTTTTCTCCTCGTCGCGCGTAATTGTGATGCTGCCTTTTTTCAATCGCAAAAGAGAAACATGAATCGTAATGAAGCAAACTTAAATGATCACCGTATTGGACCACGTGTATGAAGTACGGTTGAAACTCTTCAAGTCGAACTTACAGGGACCAGCAGAAAAATTCGAGTTGAAGTAACGAGCATTTTTGTTGGCAGAGAAAAAATATTACACGGCATTGTAATTTGTGATATTCAGGGCCTTTTTTAATGAGGTTGACAGTATACTGAATTTGTAGTTCATACGACCAATTAATCTTTCAAAGTTTCAGAGCACATTGTATTGCATTTTTATTACTTTTCTCTTTTCTTTTCAATAAAATAATAGCCAAAATGTCTACAGAGAAGTCGACCTATGAAGACTTGAGGTGAAAAGCCTTGTGAGTAAGGGAGGTTCTTAATGCAATGTTGTTGAGGGACTTTTTCTTGCTGTTCAGACAGGGACTTGAAAACAATTCGACATTTAAGGGTGTTCGACTTCGGGAGGTTCGAGTTATCGAGGTTCAACGTCTGCGATCGAAAAAATCTTACCAATACATTATTCGGCCGTGAATCATAGACCAAACTTAATTAACTTTGAGCCATTTTCGTAAACATTTTTCCTTTCATTTTAATCTTAATTACGTCGATTTGCTGTGAGAAGACCTGTAGAAAAACTTTAAGTTCTGTCAGTAACCAAGAGATTTCTTGAGAAAAAAGATAGTTCATTGAGAAACGCGTGGTTAATTTCGTTGTTTCAAAATATTCAATGAGTGCGAGAATTTTTGATTTTCTGATTAAATTCGCGTACTTGAATTCTGGTTTCTGGATTTTATTAATTTCTGTCGAGATAATTTGTTTTTCCGTTACCAACAAGCGACGTGATGAAAATTAGTGTTCCTTGTTACTGAGTTTTCTATAGCTGCCGAGTCTGAAAAATGAGGTTTTCGTAAAGTATAATGCGATGCTGAATTCTGTCAGCGCGTGGTTTTTAGGCGTACAGTAGTTCTCCTGGAAAAATATGTTGGGACTGAATGATATGCAATAATTGTTATTAATTTTTCAGGTGCGAAAAGTCGATCGGCTTTGGTCAGCATGGCCTCAAATGCCGCGCATGTAACGTTGTCGCGCATGCGAAATGCGGTCCGATTATGAATGACGAAACTCCGTTTTGCGGACTGACGGAGGAAATGGTGCGAACCATTGCCCAATGCAGCAAGCATAATTCCAAAATTGAGGATGCTGTTGAAGCTACAGCGACGTCGAGCTCGTCGATTGAAGTCGAAAAGCCGGACGACGAAATCCGCGAAGGGAAGATAAAAACCCTGATGAATCGGAGGGAATGGGTTCCGCAGTGGATCCGAGTCGAGGGGAACTTTTTGACGATTTTCGGGCAAAAGCCGGAAAGAGAAACGGATTTTCCGGCTGATACGTGGGAGCTGTGTCCTTCCAACGGAAGTACATCATTGGTGATTGACATTGATGCTGACGAGTTGCCGTCCGTGCACCCAACAGACCTGCCTTTCGTTTTCAAGGTACTGGACTGAACTTCATTTTAAAAATGTATGCATATACGAGGGATCCAACGAAAGTTCCAGGGATAGATTGAAACGGCATATGATAGAGCTGAAAAACAATTATTGTTCAGAAAAAACATTCTTTTCGCCCAAAAAAAAAAAATTCGGCCCTGTTCGACATATTTTGTGTAAATGTTTTTGCAAAAGTCACCGTGGTAGCTTTCTGCTGTTAATTCAATAGATGATGCGCCCATCTTGCAGATTTTTTTGCGTCGCCCAGCTTTCCCTTCTAAATTCTTGAAATTAGCATGATATTAATGTTAACGTCATGTCTTGCCTCCGGGTATTTCAAGGTAATTTCGCCATTTTCATTAACAGCCGCCACATTCTAATTCCAAGTTCTGTCAAAAAAAATATTACAAGCAGGGCTGTTTTTTTTTTTGTGTGCCGAAGAATTTTTTTTCTGAACAAGAATTATTTTTCAGGACGCCGTTTCAATTTCTATTCCTGGGAAATTTGTTGGACCTTGAATCTGTGAGAAGTAATTTTTTTTTTTTTTTCGAATAAACATCGTCGTGACCTTTTTCCACCCTTCCCTTTTCTTAATTTTCAGTTGGAAAAGTACCACGATAATTACATGTGGCCGAAAAAGGTTCTCTACTGCATGGCCCCATCATTTATCGCTCGGAACGAATGGGTCAAGTTCCTTCAAGACGCCATCCGGAGGCACAGTGGCGGCTGCGACGCTGGAGGCGCCGATGTTTCAGTGATGAGCGTTGATGCGCGACCGCCGCGGTATGAGTTGCTGGCGTCGGCGCCACTCGCTGCCAAAGTTGTGTGTTGCGCTCAGTCCGGCAACAAAGTCATATTCGGTGGACTCAAAGGATTGTACGTCGTGGAATTTGGGCAGAGCGAGTTCGTCAATTTTTCCACGGGGACGCACGGCTCGGTGCACTCGGTTGATGCTGTCGAAGTGTTGGACATTGCCCTAGTTGTCGCTGGTTTGTTCTAGTTATTTTTTTTATTTTTTGGAAAGGGGGTACGAGTTCCTCTGATATTTCAACAGGTTTAGTAGGTTCTTTTTCAATTGTTTCAGTTAGACTGAAACCCTGAAGTCGTTCTGTCCTGCAGAACGACTGCCTCCGATTTGTTGAGAGCTAGTGACCATAATCTTCCGCATTTAGAGTTGAAATAAATTAGAAAACTTGTGATTCAGAATATATGATAATTGAAATTAATCTGGGATTATTTTAAGGTATGAATAAGTTTCAAGAGGTGCTGAAAACTGGGTTTGGGCTGTCGTAAAAAATGGAGAGCATTTTATATGCAGTGCTCTTATTTTGTTTCTTAGGAAGAACGAGACAGTTGTTCATGACAAGACTGAATTCCTTGACGAATGGGACGCCGTCATCTGAAGAGGCCTTGATTATGGTTCCCGTGAATGAATTAATGGACGTCCGTTTGGTCCGTGTTCGAGAGGCAGTGAAAGCTGAGAGCACTTTACTTTGCGTTGCTCAGAAAAATCATATCAAGTACGAAGTATTTTCTCCCTACTTTTAACTTTGATAATGTATGCTGATCTTATGTTCTGCAGTATTTTACAATGGACAGCTTCTGAAGCCGGATTCAAGCTCCTACGACGCATGTTGACCAATAACTCGACCCAATGCGGCATGTTCTGCGATTCCTCTTTGATTGTAGGCAACGAGAAATTCTACGAAATAGACCTTGCGAACTTCTGTGTCGAAGGTGAGATTTAAACTTCGAGTTTCCATTGCTCACTAATCGTGATTTTGTCTCCTTTGTATATAAATTGGTTTTTATTTTTAGAATTCATCGACGCGTCAGATCCGTCTGTTGGTTCTTTAACGCATACTGCTCAAAGTCATCTTCCGCGGCCTCTCGCCGTTTTCCGTGTGGACAGGGACTTGTCCGTTATGGACACTGAATTTTTGCTAGCCTACGAAGACCGAGCCGTTTTCTTTGACAAATATGGGAGACGGTCTCGGCATTTTGACCTGAAATGGTCGCGATTTGCTTTTTGCATTGGTAAGATTTTTCTTTTTATGTGGGCTGAAGTGTTACCGAACATTTAGATTAGAATATTAACTTCGAAAGATGCACAAAGAAGAGTTCAAGGTTTAAATTCCGCCACACAATATAAGATGCGATTCGCTCTGCATTATGTTTGTAGGGGTGTAGCAAAATGACTTCACGGAGTTGAGAAATGTTTTATTCTCATGACACAGAACACGTTATTCGTTGCAAATTGATTCAAGAAATGAGCTTTGTAATTAGGATGGCATTGAGAACCTTTGGAATGTTGATTCTGATGGGGTATTGCAGAGACGATTTTTTTCTGCGCGGGTAGATGTCACTGGCGTTTGCCTCAATATTTTCGTGCAGTACTGTAATTTCACACGGAGTTATTTCAAGCTGCATCTGCTTCAGAAAATACGGAACAATCAAATCTCCCCTGTGTATAAATCTGCACTATTATATTGAAAGAAATTAATTTATTTTTCCGTAATGAAAATCTTATCAGGAAATTTTTTTCAATTTTTCTGCGAACAGTAACGTTTTTCCTCTTATGATTTACGAAAAATAGCGTTCAAAACTGATGTCTCGGAAAAATTGTAGATTATGTGGAGCCATATCTGTTCGTACAAAGCCAAGGAGCCATCGAGGTCATCACTGTGACGAAGAAGCTTTGCTTGAGAAGTCCTGCTTCTGTGCATCGTGTGGTGGACTACGATCACCCAATGGTCATTGGATCATCTCTGGAGCACGTGTTCGTGTCTGTCTGGGCCAAGAATCGAAATGCGGATCCTGCTGTAAATATGGTGGACTTGATAGCCATCACTGGGAAGGATTTCATGGAAGCGTCGTTGGATGCTGATGCTTCGAAGGAAAACTACAACGTGACTGTTTCCTTTTCATCGCTGGGTGAAGCGAACGTTAGACGTCGCAGACGGTTTGTATTTCTTCCAATGAAACTGCACGACATTTTAAATTTTAAAAAATGTATGCCTACAAGCTGTTTTTTAAGCTCTTAGTTCGAATTGCAGTTTTGTAATCATGATCGCTGAAATAACTGCATTGCTTTATTTTCGGAAAATACCACTCAGATCTCGCGTTTGTTGGAAGTTGAAAATGCCACCGGGTTAATTTTCAGCCAGTTCTGGTTAGCTTTTAAGATTTATTTCTGGAAAATGACTGTCATTTATCTTTGCAAGTGATTTTAAATTTCATTGATCTGTGTTTTCTTTCTCGAGATAATCAATTTAAAATCTACTGTTCGAAATAAATTGTACTTTTCCTGACTGAAACTTTCATGAGTTGGACCCAAAAAAAAAACTTCTGTTGGGACTTTCAAATTACTGTGGTTTAATCATGAATCAATTCAATGGATAATGAGTTCGTATCCGGCATGAATATACTGTATCACTACTACAGTATTTAGATCAGTTTTGAAAGATTAATATTGAATTGTGATAATTTCTCTCTGCTTCAGATCATCCGAAAAAAATCAAGATGGTTCGAAGTCCACTGTGGCGAGTCCACCTCCGAACAAATCACAGAAGATCTCATCCTAGATTTTCACGAAGTGCTGTGTATTTCTTTCTGTCCTGAGCATTATCAATCTGTGAGGAAAACATTGTATAGCTTCTTTTCAAAAGTAATCACGCAAGTAGCGGTGAATTAATGTTTTTTTTAATCCGATTTCGGGGGTTTTTTTTCTCGATTTTGCGGTATATAAGTGCATATTTGTCGCATCACGATATTGTGTGAATGATTATACAGTACTGGTGAAGTTTGCACATAAGGTTTTTTTTTGTGCCACGCGGAGTTCAGACGCTTGGTATTTGGTTGGGCTTTTATGTGGGTTTCTGCTTTGAAAAAATTTGGATAGAATTTTTCTAATGTTCATGGACGTATTTTCGCGCCATTTTATTAATCGAGGCTTGAATAGTGTTGAAATATTTTTGCATTTTCCGAAAATATAATCGTTTCCTCAGAAGTGGCATTTTTTATCATTGTAGAGTTGCTGTCGGAATGCTCGCGCTGTTCCTTCTTGCATCCCAGAAATATACGTGCATTGAATATTGAATCTATGGAGACAACGTACCGTATATGTTCTCCTGGTACTGTATGTAGTTCATGTACAGTACAATATACCGTACTTTAAAAATCGACTGCAAATTTAACCAATTGAAGCTTCAAAAGGATTCATTTAGGCCGAAAAGTTGCTTTCTTGCGCAGAAGAATGGATCAATCCGCCTCAAGTCTCAATATGATTTTTTTTTCTATTTCGATCGCCAAAGGAAAAATAAAAATGCCTATCACGATGATGGAAGAGGGGGAGATATAATGACATACAGTACATTGATGGGGAAACATTCTGCCAGAGCACTGGGAAATACAGTATGACAATCGGGCACAAAGGTATGGACGCTAATAGGTCTGCAGAAATTATAAACTTATGGACGCTCCAGCCTCCAAGATTTGCAGCACTGACTAATGTGGGGTGGTGGAGCCCTTTCTCGCAGGAGCATGGCGTAGGATATGGACACCTATTGCCAAACTTCGAGAAATATGGGAGGCATTAGTTTTTAAATGCATGTTACTGTATACCATGAATAACTTGAGCTACCGTAGTTGGCTGTCTGTTTTAATTGTATGCAATTGCATTTAATCCCTCCCTCCTCAGAAAGTATACTGTACTGTGAGAGTCGAACTCTGTACAGTAATCTTTTGACTTTTATCATGAGGGACTTCGACTCATGTTCTCACCCAACACATATCTGCTTTTATCATGAGGGACTTCGACTCATGTTCTCACCCAACACATATCACAAGTCGATGAGTACTGGTAATCACACAATAAAAGAGGAAGGTCCTTCTAGGTCAAAAGGCTTAGTCAGAGTGTCCTTATTTCCTCCTCCAGCGTCTTCCTCCGATTCCCGTCCAGATCGTGGGATAGCTGCTGAGGGTATTCTGGTTCGTTGCCTCTAGCAAGTATATGCCATCAACAGTCTAGATGTCGCTCTCAATCGTTAGGAGGAGCGAGCCCCTTACCGGAAGGTGTTGGCATTTTCCCTCCACCATTAATGATATTGAAAGCGTTATCATAATTGAATGAGCCCTGTGTGCACTGTGGCTACGAAGTTGTAAGATGGCTACCTCCATGATTATCCGGTTCGTAGATGTCGGACGGGATTTCTTCGGGAATGTTCACATATCACGTCCGTAAGGAATATCGTTGCGTTTACTGGAACGGTTTGTTTGTTGTGCTGTATTAGCGTCCGTACTCTCAGGAGTGTTCGTAAAGCATTTTCCCCCGCCTTCAGTGATTGCTTCAAACTTGTTCCAGTTTCCGACGACTTCATTCATTCCGAGATTAGTTTGGTTGATCTTGTATAATCACTGTACTGTAGGTCTGCCAGCGATTACGCATTTTCTGTTCGTGGAATACAAGACGCACGTACACGTTTCGTATCGTGACCGCAAGGTTTTTATTTTCAGGTGATATTCAATTGACTGATTTCCGAGTTTTTGCGGGAGTGACTTGCTTTGATGGCGGCAAGTGGTTATTTTGGCTTTACCCCTGGCGGTACTCAATTTGGGTAAGAATAATTCAAACAGATTCATAGATGATTTTGCAACAGCTTATTCCCTACACAGATCGGCTGGTGGTCAAGCGTTCGCTCCAGCCCCCCAGCAATTTGGAGTTGGATCTAACCCGGCTCAGGCATTCAATGGTGCCCAAGGCTACGATGCATTTCCCGGCATGAACGCTTATCGAGGTTCGTTTCAAGGTTAGCATCGCAGATTGGAACACTTTTCAATCCTTGAGTTGGAAATCAAATCGTGTGATTCTCTGTGAAACCTTCCTTTTTTGAACGTCGACTTTAATAACAGATTCCTGTTTCGTTAGGCAATGGAGCAGCAGCTGGAACTCTCGATATGAACGCTGCAGTGAATGGTGGATGGGATAATGGCTTTAGAGCGAAGAGTGGAGCACCACGTGGCTTCCGTGGTGGAGGACGTGGAAGAGGATCTGGAAGAGGTGGCAGAGGCGGCTTTGCAGCAACTGCACCGGTCCCGAAACCTCCACCTGTGGTTCATTATTGCGAAATCTGTCGCATTAGTTGTGCAGGAACCCTGGTAACATTTGTTTCAGAATTTTCCATTGGCGGAGTCATGTACCGTATTCTCTTGCATTTCGCAGACCTACGAAGAACACTTGAAGGGCTCCAAACACAAGAAGAAAGAAGCGGCCGCGAGTGCTGGCCCAGCTGCAGTTGTTCCGCGTGGTGGATGTGCTTTACGTTGCGAGCTTTGTGACGTCGCTTGTACTGGATCTGACGCTTATTCCGCACATATTCGTGGATCGAAGCATCAGCGTGTCGTTAAACTTCACGAGAAGCTTGGAAAGCCGATCCCATCCCATGAACCGACGATAATTTTAAACAAACCTAGCGCTGATGGTCAGTTCTTCGGAAATTGTTATACATCTTCCCTACCAGTTGAATGGGTTCAGGGCGCCACTGGGTGTATTAACGTTTCAATTATGTCCCCCGGAGAACCTTTAAGGCTCCGCGGTTGCTGCCGGGAGGTAGAAAAGATTAACTTTTTACAGAAGCATCGAGAGATTTATTTAAAATTATGTCCCTCGCGAAATTTGTATGAATCTGTGGGGGTGAAAAGTCAATGCGTGAAGGGACTCCTCTCAGAAATTGATCAAGGAAACGCAATCCGAAAATTTCGAGGGAATCTGCAACTCATGAATTCTATATGCATTGAAAACCATTACGTGAAGTACTGTACTGTACTCGACTTCTCGCGAGCTCAGGATAATTCCTGTCTGCCGTATTCCTTCAAATTGTTTTCCGAATTGAGATCGTAATTTTGTCTCGATTCCTTAGGTTCATCGATGGAAACGGATTCTGGATCAGGCTACGGTGCGGGCATAAAGATCAAAACTTTGAACGATTTCGACCCTAGCAATATTCAGGTGGTCGAAACCCCGTCTGGGGAGAAAGTTGGGATCCCGAAACTTCCCGATGAACAAGACGCTGAACCAGTCGGCATGGACTATATCGAAGATATGAAGGGCCCTGGAGGTACAGTACCGTATTCCTAATCGATCGTATGTATGGTTTCCTGATTGGTTTACTGGATATTTTTCAGATAAAGTTATTGGCTACAAGTGCAACCTCTGCGATTGTCAATTCAATGACGTGAACGCCAAAGACATGCATTTGAAAGGTAGAAGGCATCGTACGCAGTTTAAGAAGAAAGTAGATCCGTCGCTGCAGGTCCCACCGAAAGGCGCAGTTGTTCGACGCAATGTCGATCATTCGGCACAAATGCCATCGTGGGGTGGCCCAGCGTAAGTCTTTTAATTTCTTACAACCGCTAAATCCGTCGAATATAGATGTGACTTACAAATGAGAGGTTCTAAACCTGGGCTCTGCCAACCGTTCCGCAGGGTCCCTATGTCACGGGGAATTCGAGAACATGAAGCTCGATTGAAGTGTTCGAATCGATGAATAAAGCTCGTTGAGAATAACGATGATTAACTTGAGAAGCCCTATGGCTTCAGTTTGTTACGTCATTTGAGAAACCGTTGTGAAGCTCTTTTTTATGCCCCCCAAACTCCTCAATTTTTTGTAGGTGTCATTTCGACGTGACTGTTTGGTGTCGCTCCTGCATCACGTAAGAATTGTTCATCAAACTAGGAAACTACAATCTAATTTGATTTGAACCGAAAAATGCAAGATCACACAATTGAAGAGTCGAAAACTGAGCTTTCTTATTTTGCAGACACTTCTCTAACGTACAGTATGCAGTAGAATCTTAATTTGAAGGAAAATCGCGTAAACGAAGTCGATTTTAGTTACCTGTCTTAATAGCCACAATGTTGAATTAGTCACTTTACAACGATTTTTTCGTTACAGCGAAGCTATTTTACTGGTCTCGATGGCTTCATTGTAAGGAGTTCTTATTGTTGAATGGTAGCCGCGTGCTTCGCTCTTGAATAAGCATAACTTACTGTTTTGCGCCTTGTTTTTCAGTCCATTTCCGGAATGGGGGCCGGGTTCAATGGAGCATGGACCAATGTTCCAACAACCTGGCTTTTTCGCTCCTCCGGGAAATATCGTGAGTATTTTTCGATTGTTCTTTTATATTCGAATTTGTGTTTCTTATCGAGAATATCGCCAGAATTTTTCCATCAACGACCGTGTGTGTTTGGCAAAATGCGCGGAACTCACTCCAGGAGATAAGGAAATCAATACGATCTTGAAAGCAGTTGGCTCCGTGGAAAGAGGGCTGAAAACTGTTGCCGATGCCGTGGCTGCCGAGGATTCCAAACAAACGTGAAGTCATTTCGATTGATGTTTTCTCGTTGTAATTTGGTAAGAATTCCGAATTTGTTTTAGGAGACCGCTGGACGCTGAGCGTACTATCAAATCTTTGAAACGAGTTGGCGATTTGGCTAATGGGTTGATCATGACCGGGGCCACGGAAGTAGATCTGGTCTTAATTTGCGGGGAAAAACCAACGAAATCTTTGCTGGAAAAGATAGTTCAGCTTTTATCAAAAGAACTCAAGGTGAGCCGGGCCTTAAACGTTAGCAGTCGATATGGAGTTTTTTTTTTTTTCGTTGTCATATGATATTCATTGACTCTATTAGAATCAGCATTCGGAGGCAAGCCCTGAAGTAATATCCGATGCAAATTCTGGATTCACGGTTGTCTATCCTGGTCAGATTCGCGTTCAAGTTGCAGTAACGTCTGCTCTTATGCGGAGTGATGGTGAGTGTGGTCTACACGTTGGATTTGAGACGTATTTACGCGATTATAGGCCGCACTTTTCCCCAAAAACATGTAAGATATGCTCATGTGCGGCCTACACTCGTGATATTTCAATGATATGCCGAACTAAAGTGTCATCTGTGTGGATTATACTAGGGATGCGTATGAGAGCAATGTTAATTTTGTGATTCCTTCGGGAATAATCTGAACTAAAAAGGACTTCAGACTCTGTCAGTCAGCGCGGAAGACGTTTACCTCCATGGAGACTTCTCGCTGAAAAAAAGCAAAAACCCCCGTATCCTTTTAGATCCTTTTTTCGATGTGGGGAAGAAATCTTCGTGAGTGTAGAAGCTATGGAAAGAGGTAGGCGAAGGAAAACATTTTTTTCTCGAGTTTGGTGAGGTGTTGAATCGAAGGAATGACCCAGGTGTATCCATTTCAGATATCGTATGATTTTAAATTTGATTCTGCGCTTAGATTATGGTTTCCGGTAGATTGAGAGGATCTGAAGGAGGATACAGCGTTCTAATAGCATATTCACGCTAATTGTATGTGTGTAATTTTTGCCTCGGACTGTTCCGATGTCGAAACCGTTGCCCTTGCTTGAGGTGTGGCAAATGATCGCGTAAATATCGTGTTCAGAGTCAGTTGTGTGCAAAGGATGGGAAGACGGAAAAGAAACATGATTGGGATGTATGTTTTCTTGGCTCCGCAGCTGAAGCGTCGGACAAGGTGGACGGGACGGGTAGCGCAGGCAACGTATCTGCCTCCGCTACCCCGACGGACCCTGCTGATGTTCTTGATAGAGAGAAATGCCTGGAGGCTTTGGCCCAGCTTCGTCATTCTAAATGGTTTCAGGTCTGAATTTATTAATCCTTCAACTGGGAAAGAAACGAGAAACAACGTGAAATGTTTTCATTATCGTTTTTTGGTGCGAATTTATTTGAGAACGAATGACGAAGCGGAACCAATGGTAGAGGTTTTTTCAGTCAAAATGCTAGTTCAAATGTTTCGTCTGTCGTTTTTGTGACAGAAAAACGAGGAAGAACCTCATACTCATTCTGCTGTCAGCCTCCCCGCATTTCCAGTCGAGTTTTCTAATCGACGTTTCTTCGTCACCTCACTTTTGAAAATTCAAGTAGCTCACATGTTGGTTTAAAGTTTTTGTGCGTTATTATATGGTAATTTGCATTCCATCGTGTCTTGTTGACGTGTAAGTTAATTTTGTTAATTTTCATGATTGAGGTGACCTCAGGAAATCTTCCCGCTCAAGTTTCTTGGCTATTCGTATTTTTAAAAAGTGCAACGATGTGGAAGCCGGAAATCTACGATATTGAGTCTCGCTCATAGCTGTAACCTTGTGGATCGCATTGATCACGTCGAATGATTCTGCGGTGATTCAGTATTTTGTTCCCGCATATTTTGCTGAAATCAGGCTAGATTGGCGCAAGCGCAGCAAGCAGAAGCTTCTATTCGGATTTTGAGGTATTGGGCCCGGAAAGATCCCATTTGGGAACCCTTTAGTCCTTGGATTATTGAACTGTTTGTTCATGAAGCTTTGGCGAGCAGTACGTTTCCAATGCTGCCTGGTGACATTTTCAAGTGAGGAAATTTTTTGTATCCGGGGGTAGAGTGTTTTTTTTTTTTTTACCACTTGATCTTTAATTTCCTCTGCGATTCCTGATACTTCGATTTCCGTTCAATTATGCTTGAGGAATCGCGTAAAATTCAATCTCCGCTTTACGTGAAAAATTCTTTTCGAATAAGGAAACACATCGTCGCAAGTCACAAAAATTCAGCAAGTGTCACTTTTTACGACATGATGTTGAGTCAATTGCACTAATGGTTTATGTATTTATTTTTATTTTCTTCTCGTCTTTCTTCTTGAATTGATGTCTGAATAAAGGTCAACGTACTTACATTCACTCTAATTGCACACAGAACTTCGGAAAACTTTCATGTGAAGAAACTCTCCATTGTATGGATCACGTCTTGAAACTCTATGCTACATTGCCCTTTTTTAATGTAAAGTAACGCTGCTGTATTTGATTAAGAGTTACCAGTCCACGCATTTTGAATTGTACGCAGGAATTCCGACTTCAGGACTGTCTCTTTTAACTGATATGGTAACTGATATGGTAATGATCGATAATGTGTCTTTTCTAAATTTGTGTTTCAATAAAACTTTTGTGCGTGGCACATCGAAAAACAAATTTTTTTTTCAATCTCTTAAGGCGAGTCTTGGAAATACTGGCTACCGGTCGGCTATTAGATCCTGCGAAACGATTGATTGATCCTTGCGAGAAGGACTCCCATGATGCTATCAGCCGTCTGACGCGTCAACAGCGAGAAGATATCACGCATTCTGCCCAGGTTTTTACAATTCCAACTTCTGATGATGCATTACAAAATTTTAGAGCGTTGAAGAATCGTGATATTTGTTTCGCAGAAATACTTGAGAATGTTCTGCTTCCGGTTGGCGAATCAAATGTTGGAGCTTAACCATCCTAATCGCAAAACCCAGGTTACGAAGCGAGGTTGGTCCAATGGTTTTTCTTTTTTTTTCGAACGGCTTTATTTTTCAAGCTGTACTAATTCTTGTTTGATATTTCGTATCTAATCAGAAACAGGCCCTGAAACGGAAGCTGAAACAGAAGTAAAGAAGATCAAGTTGGAAGTCCCAGAAGCTTGAAAGTTCGAAGATATCTATTGGGAAAATGTTTTTTTTTGTCCGAGGAAATTTTTGGTTTTGCTGATGATTTCCTTGTAAATAATTCCTCGCGCGTTTTTCCCTCTTCACTTTTTTTTCTCGATGGACACGGTAATATTGACCAAAAATGTCAAAAGGAGAATTTTTTCTTTTCCACCTGCAATTTCTTGACTTGTAGACATAGTTTGATGTTTTGTTCTGATTTGTGCCGATGATGGAATAGTGTCTGAGAACATCGTTGAGAGTTTGTTGGGTTGCTGTGATTTTCTTTTTGTTTTTTTGTACACAGTCTTCAGCCGCATGCCAAAACAATCGATCAATCCTTCGAGTAAACGTTGTTGAGCGATGAACGCGCTGATATACTCGATAAACGTACTGTAAATATTTCTGAGAGGTTTGAATGTATGCTTGAAAATTTATGTGAAAACAGTTGAACAGTTTCAGAATTCTAGTTTCTCGCCGAAAATCCCAATTATTTTCCGCCTGGACTTCGCGGGGAGCAAGCATAAGACTAATGACATTTATCGAGGTGTTGTCGAGATTATTTTCACTTCTTGCACTATGATATTCTTTATCTGTCCACACAAAATTGAAATTGTATGTTCCCAACCAAGGTTTAAAAATTCGGTTTTGCGTTCCCCTTTAATGAAATGAGTTTCTGGGTCAGATTTCATTCTTGCCATTGCAGTTCTTGTGGTTGGTTGGAAATAATTGGCATTCGGCTGGTTAGCTTTTGATCGAACGATCGACTCATTGGAGCAATGAGTAATTGTGAATGTTCTTACTCCTTTGATTTCAGTTTTTTTCGCGAGTTGCCTTGTGAATTGCGTAGGGAAAAATGAAGATCGAGCAGTGCTCGTTTAGTGGGTACAAGATCTACCCTGGCCATGGGAA